TTACAAGAGAGGGGCTGCAGCAAGTATTGAAGGCCCCCTTGCAGCCAGTGGGTAAGGAAAAGGCAAAAGCCCTTGTCTGTGCTCCAACGTGGGCTTGATAACGGGAGCAGCCAGAGGGATGGCGAGAGGATCCTAAAGGGTTGCTGTAGAGCAGTGTAGGCAGGAACCATCCCATGGCTGGAGGCTGCTGTTTTCTGGTGAACAGTGATAACTACGTGTTTCTAATTCCTTGCTTGCTGTGCCCCCAGAGAGGCCAGGCTTGGAGCAGCAAAGCAGACTCAGTTCAAGCTCTTGTTTTCAGTTCTGCAGACCTGTGGCTTTAACCCGTTTTTTGCGTGCTGCAGCCAATGCTCCTCGCAGTGAGCTGCTGCTGAGTTAAGGCTGATTTGTCTGGGTTTAACCCTTAATGCTACCCCAGAGCTGAGAAATGACTTCCCAGTGGAAGTCCTGGCAGGATGGCTGCAAAGAGGCTTCTGCCATCTGCACCTCAGCGTGTTTTCAGCTTAGCAGTCCAGTGGAATACTTTGTCGGGAATATCAGGATGGGCTCCTGCTGAAAGGTCTCAGGAAGCAGGAGGTGCAGCGTGGCGGGGGAGCAGCGCTGTTTGCTCTGTCCTCAGGAAGGTGCAGGAACCTGCCATGGTGGTGACTGTGCAGGCATGGAGCACCCATCACCCCAGCCCATCACCCAAGGGAAGCGCATCAGGCCAGCACCCCCCTCTGCACTGGGAATGCAGTGCTCACAGGGAGAGACCTGCCTATTGCCCTACCCCGGTGTGCACAGTCAAGGTGGTGAGGAGGAGGGATGTAGAAGTGGTGAGAAGTGATTTGGGGGAAGTGTCAAGGAGGTCAGAGTGTCAGAATCACAGAGTGGTTTGGGTGGGAAGGGACCTTAAAGCCCATCCGGTGCCAGCCCCCTGCCATGGAGCTCCCAGGGCCTTTGCTTTTAAGATGTTCCAGCCCCTGATAAAGCAATTTCCCCCATGCTTTTGTGAGCTCTCGCAGGGAGGTGGAGATGGAGCTGGTGGTCCAAAGGTGTCTCCTTGCTCTGCAGTCCAGGTACATGATGGTTTTCTGAGTGTCACCTGAGTGCAGCACCATGGGCTGAAACCAGGGCAGTCCCTGGAGGCCATGCAGAGGAGTTATGCTTACAGCAGGATTTGGGACATAAATTTCAGCCAAGGGTTTACAGTCAAAACTTGTGGTCCTCCATGAAGCAGCAGCAGCAAGAAGGAGGCTGTTCTCCCAGGAAACATGGTGACTTTAGGCTGAGCATCCATGAGCTACAGGCACTGTGAGGTCTGCAGTGTGGATGTGGTGGGCAGCTGTGAGAACAGGAGGTAGGTAAGAGCCAGCTGTGCAGAGCAGGGGTTCCATGAGGGTGGTGGTGATGCTGCTGCCAAGTGCCTCTCTGTAACACTGGCATGAGCCATAGATCCCAGCACCCTGCAGTGCTCCCCCTATTTAGCAAAGATTGTGATGCTCATGGGGCAAGCTGTGTGCTTGCAGCTCTTCCCCCAGTGATAACTTCAGAACTGGTGGGACACTTTCATACTGCAGTGGATGAAGAGCAAAACTCCCTTTGTTGTTGTGTGTACAATGGCCATGTAGCTGCGGGGTCTGAAGTGCTGCTCAGCCCATTGGCAGGGTGATGAGGGAGCCAGAACCAATGCTGGCTAAGCTGTGGGCCGTGGCATGGTGATAACCCCAATGTGGTTATGAAGAGCTATGGCCCCTTTTACAGAGGAACAAGAAGTAACCATGGGGGCTGCTGGCTTTCATCCATTCATTAATGCCATAGCCAACAGCACAGCCCAGAAATGCTGTTGAGGGTGAAGCAGTGAGGCCATGGGATGCTCTGCTCTGCTCCCTCTGCTTTGCTCTCGCTGCTCACAGGCACTGCATGTCAGGAAGGTGTCAGTGGAAGGGCCGGGGGCTGCAGGGGGGATGCTGCAAGTATTTCCTCCCACTGGGGCAAGCTGGAAGCAGAAATCTGTGTTTGTGTTTATTTCTCCCTCTCAAAGAAGGGAAAAGGACACCTGAGCTCATAATTTGCAAAAGTTGGATGAGAAACCTGGAAGCTGCCGGGCCCTGCATCTTTAAAAGCAGTTAAATTCCTTTTCTCTGCACTAGGAGGCACCTTGAACCTTCCTCTTGGCCCCGAGCAGAGCCCATCTGCTTCCTATTACCTTCCCATAAAGCTGCCTCCCCGGCCAAAAAGCCGGGCTTTCAGGGAATTCTGTCTGCAGCCCCGATGTTGAAATTAGTAACAGTTGTCATCTGTTTTTCTTTTTTCTCTTCTCTTTTTGCTTTATTCCAGCTTGAATCCTAGCCCCCAGCCCCATCTTTTCCCCGTGTTTTTTCTTGGTGCGGGAAGAGGCGACCTCGAAGCCGCCATCGGCTCCGGTGGCACCGGCCCCATTCCCCTCATCCCGCCGCCTCTTCCCGGCCCACGGGTTCACGCGGCGAAAGCCACCTTGGCGCGGGGAGCGGGAGCGTCAGCGGGGCGCCTGCCAAGGACAACGAATTCCTCGGGAAGGAGCAAATCGGAAGCAGCCCAAAGCGAGGGAGGCACGAGACCGGAGAGGTCACCCCACGGCCCGGACCTCCCCGCAGCCCCTCTTCCGTCCCCACCGGCGACATCCCGGTGTCCCGCTGCGGATGGGGCTCCTTAGGCTTGTCCGGTTGCTGCTGCTCCGAGAGCAAAGTCTGACAAATGAGGTGGTGGAAAAGTTTCTCTGTATTGAAGCCGCAGAGCCCGTGCTCCTCCGTGGCAGAGAGGAGAGAGCCGGCTCCTTCTCCTGCGGGACATGAGCTCGTTGGGGTCTCGGAAGTGAAGCGCTGCTGGAAGGGGCCGTGTTTTCCTGGAGGCCCTTCCCCCAGCCTGGCTTATGGGAATTCCGCAGCTGTAATTCCTGCTCCTGCCCCCAGGCTGGGGGCTCCGGGGTCCTGGCGCCTGCAGCTCCCCCCCTGGCCCCTGTTCCGGGGGATGCTGAGGAGCCAGGACTGAAGGGGAAGGGCAGAGGGGACACGGGGGCACCACTCACGGCTGCTGCAGCTCAGGGGCGCGGAGAGGCAGAGGAAGGACAGGGAATAACGACAGCCTTGAGGAAGCAGGTTCGACAGCTGGAAAACAAGAGAACTCAGTCGTGTGAAGCCCAGGAGGGAATACGCTTCAGCTGAGCAGCTTTCTGTCCACAGACCTTGGAGCCGTGACAGGATTTAAAAGCTGGAATCTCAAGCTTTAATAGATGCTGAAAAATGCTGACTTAGGGCCGCAGCATTCCCGGCTTTTGCTTTGCCTTCTCCCTTTTCCAGTTCACTTCCCACAACCCAGCAGGGAGCAGGCACAGAGCAGCCTGCAGCATCCCCAGCACTTGGCCGTGCGTTGCCATGGCCCTGCCTTTGCCCTCTCGATGCTGCATCCGGTGGGTGATGCTCCAAAGGATGCTGCCACCAGGTGAACATGGTCTCATGGACCAACCCTCGGCATCCTTGTGTTGTGGTGGAAGAAGGCAGAATTCCTGCCCATCCCTCTTGTCTCCACTGCCTGCTTCCCTTTACCTGTTGTGGGTGACTGGAGCAGCCCGAGATGAGCTATAGACAGCTTTTCACCCATCAGGCAGTTTATCCTCGCAGTCTTTGAGGCCACTATCATGGGTGCTGTGTCTGTGCTTTGCACAAAAATTACCTGGCAAGTGGCACCAGAAGTGACTGGGGAGACCAGCCCCAGGCCTCACTGTGGTCTTTGGCCGTTTTTAGTTGTAAATAAGCAGTTAAAAATCTTAACATTTAAAATACAGAGCTCCAGATTGTGATTTAAGGGTGCGTGGTTGGTCCTCTCAGCATCTTTACATTTTACAAAAGGACTTTCGACAAGGGTCTGTAGGGACAGGCCAAGGGGAATGGCTTGAACCTGCCAAAGGGGAGAATGAGATGAGCTCTTAGGCAGAAGCTCTTCCCTGTGAGGGTGCTGAGGCGCTGGCACAGGGTGCCCAGAGAAGCTGTGGCTGCCCCATCCCTGGCAGTGTTCAAGGCCAGGTTGGACACAGGGGCTTGGAGCAAGCTGCTCCAGTGGAAGGGGTCCCTGCCCGTGGCAGGGGTTGGAGCTGGATGGGCTTTAAGGTCCCTTCCAACCCAAAGCATTCCATGGTTCAGTGATTCTTCTTTTACCTCACCTATGTAGTCTCATGCTGGAATGGGTGTTATTCCAAACCCCCGCAGCACAAATAACATTAACTGCATGGTACAGATGGGAAAACAGAAGTTGAAGTAAATTGCAGACTCCCAATAGGACACGGGGCGACCAGAGAAGGAACCATGCTCTCCTGCCCTGTGTTCTAGCCAGTAGTCTTTGCTATTTAAAACACAGAAGAGCAGAGAGAAGCAAGGGTTAACAGCGTTATTCCAAGTGCTTCCTTACTGGGACGAGGACCACACACATGCCATAGCTATTGACACCTTTGCAAAGAGCATTGTCCTCCTGTCTCCGGCCGAGCAGCTCAGGAGCTTCTGTCCCGCTGTTCCTCACCCTGTTCTGGACCATCTGTGAGTTGTAGCTGTGTCTCTGGTCTGATGTCAGGCTTCGGTATCTGTGGCCTTTGCAAGAACACTTGCATTTTGCTGCCGAGCTGCTCTGGAGCAGAGCATCACTGCTCAGATATTTGGGATTCTCTGGGTGGTGGTTAGGTATGCGCCGTATTCATTGCAGACGTCATCGAGTCGCTGGATGGAAACAAAACCCACAGGCTTTATGCAGCTCTCCAGCGCTATGTGAATTTTGTGTAATGGCCTCAGACTGGGTGGAAATTATCTGGGAGCCAAAAATCTTTCACTGAAGCAATTAGCGAATCATTTTAAATCACAAATACAATTGGGATCTCACGATCCATTTGTGGATAGGGCTGAGGGTAAGGGTGAGTTCACTGAATGGGGCCTTTGTTTTCAACCACTTTCTTAGGTTTAGCCAATGCATTCTGAGAGCAAGTGCTCTTCTTTCAGGGCAGTGACAGTCATTAAAGTGTATTTTGAAGCCAGGGAAACTGGAGGAGAGAGGATCTCTAGATTGCTGCTCGCTACCACCCTGCTAATGCTTTTCTTTCATGCTCTTCTTTAAGGGATCAGGTAACTGAGACCACCTCACTCTTTGGTTTGCACTTCCTCGGGGGTGTTGACAAAGGATGCCCATCTATTCGATGCTGTTTTCCTCAGGAATAAGGTGTATACCAGCCCTTTAGTGCCGCTGCCAGAACAGTGCAGGGGCTGTGCTGGGAGCAGGGTTCTCCCCGGGGAAGCACCCGGGTGTGCAGTGTCCCTGTAGCAGGATACCGTGACGTTCCAATGCTGTGAACTGTTAATAGCAGTTGCGTTCACTTCCCTCTTTCTCTCCCCTTTCTTTCTTTCTTTCTATCTCACTCTTCCTTTCTCCAAGACCTAAGGCTTTCCTCATTCCCTCTGCTCACCATTTTCTTCTTTGTATCTTTCTCCTCCATCCTTTGTTGCTCCTCTGCCCGTTTCCTGCTCACTCATCCCCACTCTCTGCTTCACAGGGGCAATGCCACCGAGAACCTGGGGCTCACACTAGCCCATGCTGACCCCGCACAGCACACGGCAAAGACACCGTTGGCTTCGCTGCTTTGGGAGAGCACGGAGCGGCCGAGGATGCCTGCGGAGGGACCGAGGACTCCTGTCTCTACATAAGCAGTGGCCGAGGGAGAGACATGTTGGGACAGCGCCCTTTCAGCTGGCACAATACTCCCTGCACTGAGACAAGCATCGCTAACCATGGCCATAGCTTGGAGGCTTCTCACGTGGACTGTCATCTTCACTGCGGCTCTGCGCAACTTTCCCGGTGACACGTTCCAGTCACAAGGTAGGAATTGAGTGGGAATGGGAGCTGGAGCCACTCACCTCTGCTGGCAGGAACCCTAAAGCTGGCCCCGGGGAGGTCTTGGGGTAATGTTGTGCTGAGGACGAGGTGGAGACACCTCGAGCTCTGCTCTGCTCCCTGCACTGCAGCAGAGCTCCTGCTGCTGGATGTGCAGGTGTTTTCCCTTGTCCTGGAGGAAGGGATGTGTTTTGCTCTCGGATGTTGTGCTGAGTTCCGAGCAATAAGGTCTGTGCAAGATGAGAGCCACGTACAGGCTTAGCAAAGGAGATGTGGCAGCAATAGAGGAAGCTCCTCTTCCACTCGGGTGGAGCGGCGCATCCTCGGATGAATAGAGGCTTTGTTCTGAGGAGGGCCTGAGTCCTCTGCACGTGCAGGGATGGAGGTGGCTGATGGAGCATTACAGATACTCCAGCTGAGTCTGATCAGATGTGTGCTGCTGGAGGAGGTTTAGTTTGCACACACCTTCCTGGAGGCGCTGCCGTTAGTAAATGCTCAAACCTGCTCAGGTGTAAGCGCTTTGTACCTGTCCTGTATGACTCTGCTTCTGATGGCCTTGTGTTTAAATACAGAGCCCTATATGCAAGTGATTGCAAGGAAAGCAGAATGTGGGTCTCTTATACGTAGATTTGTGCCTTTGTAGGTGATTTTATTCCAGGTTAGGAAGGGACTGGAAGGTGAGAACTGCCTTGTGCCCAGCCTGGAGTACAAATACAGCACGGGCAGGTAACACAGTGTAGTTAAATTGCTTAATACTAGTTTGCTTTCGTGACCTTTTCTTCAGAGGCAGTATGAGCACTGCCATCAGGCACCAGAGGTTAGAAGAAAGAGCTCTGAAGTTAGACATTTATCTGTGCAAGGTGTTAAAGCCTCAGCAGTGTGCTTACACAGCCGTAGTTGTGACAGAGTACATGTGCCCAGACTAATTGCAGCGGGGCCAAGGTCAGCGGCGTACCAGGCTCGTGATTAGTGCAACGCCATCAGGCTGTAGTTACTGTGGCTGTGGGTTGTCTTGTGAAGCAGAACTGGAAAGAGGAACAAAGGCAACCAAAAGCCATGCGGTGTCCTGGGTCTGAGCAGCGTCTCCTTGCTAAAGGTGGGATGCTGCCCAGCTCACGCTGGCTGAAACAAGAGGCATTCCGACACAGAGCTGCATGCTGTGCCGGCGCTGTGCAGCATGCAAGGTTATACAGGCAGATTTCCTTGAATCTGAAACAAGCCCTGGTTTTGGTCCTTTTTGCCAAAGCCTCTGGCAGTGCCTAGGGTGGCTGTTCTGGGCCTCCCATGCCCGTCAGATCACACCTCCCTCCATGTGCCCTGCCTTCGCCATGCAGCGATGCTCTGGTGAGGACACCGCTGCCAGATCACCTCCACCCTGCAGCTCGGATCCTCCCTCACGCATGAGTCCCCGTGCTGTTTGTGAATGCACCTTGCTCTAAAGCCCAGGGCTCATCACATTTACAGGTCATGTCTTTGTGCTCTCCCAGAGGCAGTCTGGGGGATGAATCTCAGCCCACGACGTTGCTGGGAGCATGGTGCTTTGGCAGCATCAAGCTGGGGATTGCAGCCTGTCCCCTCCCCAGTCCCTGTCCAGTCCCAAGGGTCACGCTGCCCCATGGGCCCCTCTTGCTGTCAGAGCACTTTTTTAGGCTCCCTGCATGCAGAACGGCTGGCGTCAGGCTGTTGATGTTACTCAACACTTCACCACGCTGCTGGGATAGCAAGTGCCTAATCCTCACAACACCCTTTCAAGAGGGTCAAACACTTATCTCCTCTTAGCAGTTGGAGGCACGGAGGGTAAAGGCTGGTGTTTTCAACAAGGCACTGATTTGGACCAAGTGCCTTGCTCCAGTTAGCAATGGAGCAGGTTTCACACGCCCCATGTGCACAACTCCAGATCAGTGTATTTGTTTTATGCAGGAAAAAGATTAAGGTATCACAGTCATAAGCTGTAATTATCTTGGTGGGAAATAGCATCCCAGTGTTGAAGGCCTCTTCAAGCCAGCGGAGATGTAATGAGATTCAGATGTAACGTGTACGCTCAGGCTGCAGGCTTTAACAGTGCAGGGAACAGCAGCTGAACGTGCTGCTGAATGGGCTTTGAGCAAAAAGAAGTTTTGTGCTTGCACCTTAGTTTAATTCTAGTGGCTGACAGATGAGACGTTCCCCATTTCATAGGGCATCAGGATGAGGCTGATCCCCCTGTTCCCGATTCACATGTAAGCCAATGGACCCTCGGAGGATGTAGTGATGTTGCCATAATGCCAGGGCAGCCTGAAGCCATCCCTTAGGAACTGTGCTTTCCACAGCCATCCCTTAGGAACTGTGTCTGGACTGCAGCTGAGGCTCCTCTTTGCTCTGGTGAGAAGACTGGAGCAAACATCTGCTTCCTTTTCATCTTTAAATGAGTAATGAGTAAATGAGTAAATGTAAATGAGAGGCAGTGGTGAGGATACAAGGAGAGAACAAAATCCCTCCCCCTCCAACTTTCACCTTCCCTCTCTTCTTTTTGTTCAGCTTGCTCCTCTGTGTCCCCTGTGCTCTTTCTGTTCCTGTACCAGCCCTGTCCCTATAGACGCGTGCTCCCTTTCCACCAGAACCAGGCAGCTCGGTACTTCTCCCCGCACCCCATTCCCTCCTGCTTCCCAGCTTTCTCCCTTGCTCTCTCCAGGGACATTTGTGGTCCAAGCTTGCGCAGTCCCACACAGCCACGGGCAGGTTTTCCTGGAGAAAGGCTTTTTATAGCATCTCTTCCACAGCAGTGTGACAGCGCTCTGGGAACACCAGGCTGCTTATCACCAGTGCAGACCCTCCTGATACGGTGGGTGCAGTACTGTGCATTTCAGGCCAAGAGCTATTAATACAGCATGAAGTGGCTGAGGGGTCACAGGGCACATGGTGGCTTTTCTGAACCGAAGGAAGGCAGGCAGGCCAAAGAGTGCTGCTCTTGCTGTTGGGAGCTCCTATAATACAGGGAGCATGACCAAGGGAGGGATGAGCAAATGAGGGAATTAGGGAACATCTGTGATGTTGGGTGGGGTGCAGGGGGTTAGGGAGTAAAAGATCCTAATATCCTAGCACCTAATCTAATCTTTCACGTGTTTAGAGGAGGGGAAGGAGCTGGCTGTAACACTGGATGAGGACACTGGCTTCTTCCTTGTGTTGAAAGTCTCTCTTCATTATTGTTTCTGTTTGTGGCATCCCCACTTTAAAGAATCACTTCCTAAAACATTCATGTAATGCAAGGAGCTGCTTTTTGATCTTTCTTCCTCTGCCTCAGTTTCCATCCCTGAGAGGATGCACAGTGATACTACAACAAAAGCAGGGTCTCACACCCAACCCCATCCCTCAGGCTTCAATCTCCTGGATGTACCCCATGGGTCAGGAGCAGGGGCTGCAGCCCTGCCCCAAGCCCTTTGTAACCACTGCATGCACAAACCTCCTTCCCATTCACTGTTTTGCAAGACTGCAGAGAGGGAAGAAGACAAACAAGACGCTTCCGATAGCAAATATTTCCAAGCCTGAGGTCATTGCTTAGATGCAGTCACTCTTGTTTGCCCGGCTGCATCACACGCGAGGCGCTGAGATGCAGGAGAAGCTGGAGCACAGGAAGTTAAAAGGCTAATAATTATTTCTGGCTTGTGGAGACAAGGGATGGGTGCCAGAAGTGCTTATGGTTTGGAAGGATGGGAGCTAACCCCTAAACCCAGCTGGTGGGAAGGACTGTCCCATTACCGGTGGCCAAGGAAACCGCTCTGTCAGGCTCCCACGTTGGAAAACGCACTAGGGGAAAAGGAAACTTTCCAGTGCTGCCATGTGGTAAGAGTGTAATTTGGAGTCCAAGTTTGTGATGGCTGGGAAGGCTTTGAAGATGGGTGCTGTGTGGAGCCAGGCGAAATGCAGCCACCCTGGAGCAGCCTGGCCTCTCCTGTTTGCTTAGGAAACAACTACAAATAGGATGCGGAAAGCACAGTAAGAATCTTCCAGAGTCAAAAGAGGACAAATCCTCTCCTTCTCCATGAGCAAACCTCCAGTGACGAGGGGCTCAGGAGAGCACACTGTGATCAGAGGAGCTAGCCTGCCCAGTGCATGATTTTATGCATCTTCTGCTGAAGCCCATGGTACTGAGGGCTGTCAGAGACATCTAGACCTCCGCTCAGCTCCAATCTGGCAGTCCCTGTGACATTTTGCTTGGAAAATGAGACATTTCTGTCGAGTGCCAATTTCTTTGACAGCCAAAAGTGTTGCTTTAGCTTGTGAGGGCAGGCAGACATTTTCAACAGGGACCTTGTCAGAGCACATTTCCTAAGTGGGACGAGACAGGCTCAAATACTCAAGTGCCCCAAGAGAAGGTGCTAAGCCAGGCTGATACAATAAAGAACACCATCCTGGTGAGCTGTGCAGGGATGATGGTGTCACAGATAGAGACCTGGCTGGGGAGTCAGGATGTCTGAGTTCTTTTCTCACTGCCTTTTCAGCTGGGGAATTCTGGTTACCCTCTTTCTTACTTTGGTTGCAAGGCTGGCATTGCAAGGACATTGCCTTTGTGCCTCTTGGGAGGATGCTCAGTACCTAATGCCCTAATGTAGCTGTGATTGGGAAGGCTGTGCTGTTATGCAGGTTATCAAAGCAGAGATAGCAGGTCCATGTGGCAGCTGTAGATGTGCTGAAGAACACCACCATTCCTTAGCAAGACTGTCTTCTCCTGAGCTATTTTTGCCCCAAGGCTCATTCTAGCTTGTTTTGAAGAGACCTTATTGCTAGCTTTGTTACTGAAAGGATCCAGGTTAAAATAACCCTCCTACTGTGACTGCACAACCTCGATTCCCTCTGCCCAGTGGAGATGGAGAGATGAGGGATAGTTCAGGATCAGAGCCAGGATTTGGACTGAGTGGCCCCTTGGACCAGTCCATTTCTCTCCATCACCTGCAGAGGAGAAAATAATGCTCCATAGGCTCAAGGCTTATTGGTAGGACAGGGAAAGGCTTAAGGCCTTTGGGAATACCCCAAGGATCCAGCAGTCTGGACAGAGCGTAAGGAAGAAGTTGTTCCCTGTGAGGGTGCTGAGGTGCTGGCACAGGGTGCCCAGAGAAGCTGTGGCTGCCCCATCCCTGGCAGTGTTCAAGGCCAGGTTGGACACAGGGGCTTGGAGCAAGCTGCTCCAGTGGAAGGGGTCCCTGCCCATGGTAAGGGGTTGGAGCTGGATGGGCTTTAAGGTCCCTTCCAACCCAAACCACTCTGGGATTCTATGACCCTCTGTGTCAGGACTCCATCTCACTGCTTTGTGGTGCCTGTGGCTCAGTTGTGCTGCAGTCACTGTGTTTTACTCTGCCTCCCTCTGCAGATTGCCATTCCTGCTCTGTTTGCTTTCCCTCCCCAGAGGAGTTCCTCTCCAGCCTGGATCACTATGAAATCGCCTTCCCCATCCAAGTGGACCAAAACGGGGACTTCCTCACCTTTGACGTGAGAAGCCAGTTGAAGCAACGTCCTCGGCGCAGCCTGGGCTCCTTGCCCTACGAGCCATCTGAGCAGCAGGTCTTCTACAAAGTCTCTGCCCACCGAACCCAGTTCCTCCTCAACCTGACCCTGCACTCCAACCTGCTGGCTGAGCATTTCACTGTGGAATACTGGAAGCGAGATGGTGTGGACTGGCAGCATGATTTCCATGAAGACTGCCACTACGCAGGACACTTGCAGGATCAGTACCTGAACTCAAAGGTCGCCATCAGCAACTGCAATGGACTGGTGAGTCTGGATTTTGCCCAGTCAAGGGCACTGGTAACAACTAGAGATGCCCATAAAGCAGAGCTGATGGTAGCCTCTTTGGTCATCGCTATTGAAGTGCAAACCTGGTTTGGGTTCCATGGTGGTGGGAAAGGCATGGGGCTGGTGTCAAGCTAGAATATGGCATCAAAAGTCAGCTGAGAGTGAAGAAGGCCACAACCCTGTAGGAGCTCCTGATCTGTATTTCGTTTGTAGTCCAGTTTCTGCCAAAGTCACTGGGCATTTTTCCATTTATTTTAATTGGAATGTCTTAACATCTTTTAATTTGCATGTCTGAACAGACTGGACATCATGGTTTTAAATATCAAGAAAACTTAATGGTAGACATTAGTGGTAGGGATAGCTGAGCTGTAGGTTGCTTAGAGAGTATGTGGCTCCTACATCATGGGAGATCTTTAAGAATAGGTCAGATGAATGCCTCTCAGAAATACTCCAGGTATGAGCAATTCCAGCACTGGGAATACACTAAGGATTTCCATCCTTATTTTTCTGTGATTTTTCTGGCTCCCAAGGCTCATTTCATGACCTGCCAGATGGAGGGATGGAGCAAACATACCCTTTTAGTGAATCCCAGGGATGATGGCTCCCTTGGAGGGGTAACGTGTACAAAAAGACTCTGTAGGCCAGATTCATATTTATGCTACAGCCCCACCTCACAGCAGTATTCTGGCAGTGTGGAAGAGCTTCCAAATGGGAATGAATTCACATTTGATTTATTGCTAAATCACAGTGCCAGAACAGTGCTGTGGGTTATTAACAGAAATGAGAATCTGACTCATTATATCGTGGAGTCTAATGTTTCTATCTCACAGCCAAAAGTCAGAGCTGCATAAACTCTTGGTTCCCTGGTTAGCTCGTTGTTCAGATATGGAAACTCTGAAGTCCCACACTTGTTGGTGTTCACAACAGCACTGAAGGGGGAGCTGGATGCTGCTGGCTCGGAAGGGATCTGGCGTTAGCCTGCCTTCCCACTTCAGAAGGCAGCAAGTCCAGGGCAAGCAACGGCCCGGCAGCACTTGTGCTGGGATAATTCAGTCCACAGGCTGTGCTTAGCTCTGGATGGGGCTTGGAGCAAGCTGCTCTAGTGGAAGGTGACCCTGCCCGTGGCGGGGGTTGGAACTGGAGGATCTTTAAGGTCCCTTCCAACCCAAACCAGGCTGGGATTCTACCTCCCATGGAGGGTGCACCATGCTGTGCTTCAGGCTGAGCAGGGGGAAAGTCACCCAGGTTTAAGGTGTTGGAAGCAAAGGGCAAAGCGGTCCGTTTTCCAAAACACCCGTTATTGTGAGCAGCCAGCGGGGCCACTTTAGGACAGAAATGCCACTTTCTTACCTCTTATGTCAGAGCTCATCAAAGGACAGTTCAAAGGGTTTTCAACCCTTTGTGACCATGCGTTCACCTGAAAAGCCCTCCTGAAGGTCAGCATGAGCATTAAAGCTTGGAGCAAGCCACATGGCCCTGCTGCTGAGGCTGATGCTGAGCTGCTCGTGTGTATATATGAGGACATAGAAGAGCTGAATTGCAGTATGCGGCCACGCTTTTGACTGTGGTCATAAGCTAATAGCACAAACCATCCTTGCTCTGCAGATGACCTGGGTGAATCACAGACAGGATATCCAGTTTAGCTCCCCCACAAACCACAGGGATCCCTCCAAGGGCTTCTCGCCGCCCCCTTTCAACAGGCTTGTGTCACGTCCAGCGCCTGGACCTCAGAGCTCGGTCTTTGGGGTCAGTGATGGGGCAGTTTTAAGGCTGCTGTGATGGCCGAGGATGCGAGGCCGGCACTGGAGCCTCCTGCCTCTTGCGCTCTGCAGATGCTCTGGGTTTAAGCGCAAGCGGCCCTTTTCTAGCAGGACATGGGTTTGGGGCAGCACGCGCTCTCCCCTCCCGCTGCTCTGCCCCAAGGCGGTGGTGACCTCCTTCTCCCCATCCCACAAAGCCGGCAGCCAGCTGGCTTCTCCGGCCGACACTCGGCTTTCCGCCACAGCCCTCGCCAGGCTAACCTCACAGTACCTCGCTTGTGCTGGAGGAGGTGGAGCCCAGCCAAGAGCAACAGAGCCCGGTGCAGGAGGAAATCCCCCGGCACTCTGGAGATGGGGACTTCGCTGTGCGCACACTGCCCCGATTCAGCTCCCATGGCAGGGAGGGACAGGACGAGAGACCTATGGCGGTGGCAGCATCCACCCCGGAGGGGCTCTCCCGCATGAGCACCCAGCAATGATGCTGTTACGCAGGTGATGTATTCCGTGCGAGGATGTCAAGATGTTTTAGAGACCTGCTTCCCCACTCCCTGTCCTGGCCTCCTGTCCCCCTTGCATAGAGGAGAGATGGAAAAGTGCTGTGACATCTAAAGGACAGCACTACTGCAGAGCTGATGGCAGGACGTGGGTGTTGCTGCACCTAGAGCTATGCTTGTGCACAGGTAATGTGGGTCTCAGGCTTTTGGGATACTGCTTGAGAGATGTCAGGCGTGTTTCTGTGCCTCGGTTGCTGGTTGGTGAAGTTCAGCTGGTAGCACACCCACATTTCTTGGAGTTAGGTGAGATTCAGTGCCAGGAGTTCTTACAGCAATGGAGCTTCTACTTGTACCCTGTTGGGCTGCCAAAAACTCTTCAGGTTGCTCAGACTTTTTAGGCAGAAGGAAAACTTGCCACGAGGATGGGACCAGCCGCAGAGGAGAGATTCTGCAGGCACCTGGTGGGTTTGGCTGCTCATCCCACTGGGATGCCCAGTCATCACCGTGGGTCCATTCGCAGGGAGCAAAGTCTGGCCTCGCAGCTGAGATTCATTCAGTTGAATAATAAAATCAGGAGAACAAGAAACAAATGGGGCAAACCCAAGATCATCTGCCTGACGTGGTGTGAAAAGGGCAGTGCCTATAGGGCAACAAACCAGGTTTAGGCTGTAGAGAAAGACTGTGACCTCTGCGGGTTGCTCACTGCTAAACAGACTTCAGGTTTTCCAGATTCAGTGTTTCTCAACAGCCTCTGAGCATCTGCACTTCTCTGCAGCGCTGTGCCTGAGTTTCCCAGCTGGTGGTAATGATCCTGAGCTGCTTCCAAGGCTCTTTGGTGAGGTTGAACAGTACAGAAGGGAGATCCCACTGCTGAGTTGTGCTGTTACGCGAAGGTATTTAGGATCCCACAGACAGCTCTTGATTGGACTGAGGGGGTGGAATAGGAAACGACTCATTCATAATTTTGCAAGGAAGGGCTCTGATTTCCAGAAGACCTCAGTGAACAGAGATGTCCCAGGGCATCCACGAGCATCTGGCTCCGTTTCCTCTGGTCTGTAGGTTCACGTAGTTCAGTGTTCGTGCGTAAATGAAGGATTCCATCACATTCTCCAAAGTAATTGTCAGTCCCCAGAAGCTCAGTGGTTAATCAACAGAAAGCTCCTTCCAAGAAGCAATATCTCACCCAGTTCTCTCTCTACCTCTTTCATTGCCTTTTGTCTCTTTCCTTCTGCAGCATGGGGTGATCGTCGCAGATGAGGAGGAGTATTTCATTGAGCCATTGAGCCCGGGAGCCAACGTCAGCACAGGGAGTGAGGGCAAGGGCAGCCCCCACGTCGTGTACAAGCGGTCGTCTCTGCAGTACCCACACATGGATGCGGCCTGTGGCGTGCTAGGTACCCATCAACCCATCCTCGATCCATCCCAGTGCAGTCCTGGTAGAGCAGGCTTTGAAGGTCCACACTATGGCAAAGAACCAAATTTATCTCCTGCATTCAAGACAGTTTTCTCTATTTGCTTTTACTCGTGTTAAGCATTTCTGGTGGCCTGGTCTTTGGTAAGCTCTTGTGCTCTCTTCACAGCAGGGCTTTTAAATTTGTAAGTAGAGCATGGAATAGAAGAGAAAAAACTGCCCCTTATTGTTCTTAAGAAAAATCTTTCCAGATTTGGCCAATTGACAAGGTATTGAGAAATCCTAGCTTCCACATGCTCAGCAGAGACTTCTCTTTGGGTTTCAGTCTCTGAAGATTGTGTCCATGTTGAGATAACATCTGCTGCTGTTAGAGACCAGGTGGAAAGATGCCTTGTAGGGTGGGATGTGGGAGATGATAGTCACAGTGGGCTCTGGGGGACGTTTATAGAGGGTGGCAATTGCACATTTACCCCCTTTCTATGCTTTTACAGGCCCATGAATTACTCACCCAGGGCTGCCCTGGCCTCTCCCTATTGCTTGTGTCCTCATCCTTGCTAGCAGGGTCCCAGAGCTTGGCTGAAATTGCCAGCCCTTATGAATGTGCAGGGTTTCTCCATCTACCCAAAATGTTGCACGCACGCAGGATGCTGCTCCCTCAGTTTACAGAGGCTCCCCCGGCTCTGTAAGGATGAGAGGAGATGCCATCCCTGCAGAGGGGCCAGCTCGCATGTTATGGATTAGAGTTTGTGGATGCAGGAGCAAGGCTGTTCCCCGTTGCTCCTGGAGGTTTTGTGTCACTTCAGGCTGTTCATCCAGTGACACTCACCTAGATGGGGAGTCCCTGCTGGAAGGGATGGAATGTGTGGAGACACCAGGGCACTGCCAGACTGCTCTGAGTGTCCCCAGACCTGGGGGACAACCTGTGCTTCCCTGGCCCCTCTCCTCCTCTCCCAGCTCCCAAAGTCACAATGGACAAAGTGCCAACAGGCTCCCCTTCTGCTGACCCTTTGCCACATTCCACGGCTTCCAGACAAAAGTTAGCCTGTTCCTAATTGCTTCTTGGAAAGCAAAGGCTGTGCAGTGAGAGCCATGGGCCAAATGCAGTTCAGAACAACCACAGTGCAACTGGCCCCATCAAAGCTGCCCCGTCCCATTGCCCCAAAGGCTGGACCTGTCCTGACCTGCCCAGCATAGCTGGCCCCTGAGCACCCTGTGAGCTCCCTCTGAGCAGCTGTAGGGGCTGGAGCTGGCAGGTTGTGGGGCTGCCTGTGATCTGCCCATCTTCCCGGGATTGCTGGATGATTGATGTTCCAGCATCAGGGCAGAGGAGGGGGATTCAGCCGGCTCTCCTGATGGAGCAGGAGAGTGGTTGTAATCTCCCAATCAGCCCTCCTGCTCTGTGCCAGTCTCCAGGCCATGGGTTTGGAGCTGATGGCCCTGCTGTGGGCATCCCTAGGGTCAGGTCAGTAGCACTTGAAGCCTGGAGCAAAGTCCTACAAACCTGCTGCTGCTGCTTTGGAGGCTGCAGCCATTTCTGTGGAGGAAGAGCCAAGTCCTAAATTCAAGCCCTGGCAGGAAAAGGAAAGAGGAAATGATCTGCAATGGCTTTATTTTCAGATTATGTCTGTGTAGTTTCTAAACCTACACTGCTCTTGCCTGCGACAGTGGGGAGGGCAGGGCCTTGTAGCATGCACTGAAGTGCATGGGGCTGCTGCAGAAGGATGGGTGCACACCTCTGCATGCAGTGCCTGGGCAGGAGGGCAGGCAGGCGGCAGGTAGGATGCAGGGAAGACACTGGCAGGATGCAGGCAGGGCAGGAGCACAGCCCTGGGCTGCAGTAGGAAGAGATCAGCAGATCCAGCCCACGGCAGTGGGGGCATTTGCTGGGTTCACACATGTATAAAGAGCCTTGCAACGACCTTTCCTTCCCTGAAACCAAGCTGCCAGAGGGCAACAGCAACATCTCCTTCCCTTTGCAGATGAGAAGCCCTGGAAAGGGAGGCACTGGTGGCTGCGGACGTTGAAGCCCTCCCCGCTGAAGCCCTCGGGCAACCACAGCCAGCGCGGCCAACTGCCCCTGAAGAGATCCGTGAGCACGGAGCGCTACGTGGAGACCCTGGTGGTGGCTGACAAGATGATGGTGGGGTACCACGGGCGGCAGGACATCGAGCAGTACATCCTGGCCATCATGAATATTGTAAGTGTTATAACCACATCATGAGCCTTGGGGACACACACACACACCCCCAGCAGCAGAGAGCAAGCAGGAACAGCTCCTGTTCATCACCATGGATGTCTGAGTTTGGCAAAGGGTGCAAGGAGCCAAGTGGGATGGGAATGCATTGGGTGACTCAGATCTGTCTCAGTATGGCAATGGCTTCTCCCCACTTCCAGAGCAAGATGTTTGGGTCAAAAAGCGATTCTCTGGAGCCTGCAGGGACTCTCTGGTGTATAGGGGAGCACTGTAGGAGAGGTAAACTGGCCTGTCTGACCATGCTACAGATCTGGACCGGGAGAACAAAGCCCTTTCTTTGAACTGCATCTCTCATCTCCAATTAGCATTGCAAATAGGGCCAGGCAAGCAGGGAAACACATGGGAAAGCATAAGGACAGTGAGCTCTCACGCTTGGGGGCTGAGCAGTGTGAGGGGTAGGGAGAAATACCCTCGTTCTTCCACAGCACACTGCCCGTGTCTCTGGGTTACTGCAGAGGAGCTTCCTCTGCAGCATCAGATCTGGGTCATTGCTGGCGGCAGGATACCAGGCTGGATGCATAGAGAGCCTGAATTGGCCATGCTGAATCCTCCTGTGAGGTGAGATAGGTTTGGAAGTTATCCATCACGCTGCTGAAAGCCCCTCTGTGCTGGTTCTTTGTCCTGTCCTCTGCAGGCTCTCTGTTCATGGTTGGCTCTGTTTGCATTTCTGAAGCAGATGCCAGGTTTTCAGACAATGCTGTGTGTAACTGTTTCATCTGCTGTGAAACACCCATCGTGTGGCAGCAGATTTCTGAGGGATGCTGTGTCATTCGCTGCCCGTGGGCAGTCACCAAAGCTTCATCCTGTGGCTGGGTAATGCCAGGACCATGGAGCTTCCCCACCTGAGCTCCAGGCCAGGAGAAGCTGCTGTGGGATGTTGGCTTCACTGCTTGAATCAGACAGAAGGAGACACCGAGGTCTGAACGTGGGTTGGGAGGCTTTGCAGTCCAAGTGGTAACGTGGAGTCCCATACCTGTATCTGCTCTCTAAACCACTGTGTTCAGACCCTGCAGCCCGTGCTGATGAAGCCACCCTGGTTCTCTCCATGCCAGCTCACCGGGGAGCTCATTTTTAAGACTCGTCTTTTCTTGTTTCTTGGAGGTCAGGTTGCCAAACTTTTCCAGGACTCGAGTCTGGGCAATATTGTCAATATCCTGGTGACCCGGCTGATTCTCCTCACCGAGGATCAGGTAAGGTGGGCTCTGCTGAGCCACTTCTGTCGCACATCTGCACTTCCTCTGTGGGTCTGCTGGGTGCACCGCAGAGAATCCCAGCCTGGTTTGGGTTGGAAGGGACCTTAAAGCTCATCCAGTTCCAATCCCCTGCCATGGGCCAACACCTTCCACTAGAGCAGCTTGCTCAAAGCCCTGTCCAAGCTGGCCTCTCAACCCTCTCAATAGCAGCTGGGGACTGCATCCAGGCCATGGGCTAAGAGCACCTTTAGAACTCTGAGCACTGTTTCTATGCCAAGTTGATTTTAAGGAGGTTTAAGTAGCTTTAATCCTCCCAAAGTCTTGCTTTCCTGTGGCCTCCATGAAAACATGGGGGCATCTGAATGGGTGTCAGTGCTCTGCTGGCATGGGAATAGGCGGTGCTTTTGCATCAGAGCTTTCCTGGGAACACATTGTCATATTGCTTCCATTTCAGCCCACACTAGAGATTAATCACCACGCTGGGAAATCCTTAGACAGCTTCTGCAAGTGGCAGAAATCCATTGTGAACAGGAATGGCAATGGGAATGCTATCCCCGAGAATGGCATAGCCAACCATGACACCGCAGTGCTGATCACCAGGTAAGGCTGAGCCCGGCCCTGGCAGTGCTGTCAATGGGGGGGTGTTCTCTGTACAGCTGTCCTTTATCCCTGTCCAAGTGGTTCATCCAAAGCTTCCTTCCCATGCAATCCCCCACGAGCTGCTTGGCCGCTGCTGTCCCTCAGCCCTGTTGTCCCTTATTGCAGCTCAGATCATTCTCATCCTCCAGTGTCTTCTCTCAGTCTTTGGTGTGCTCTCAAGGAGCTTAATTTGCACCATGGGGATCTGTGTACCCAAGTGAATGGCATTATGTGTACAACGCTGTTGAGCATGTGTGGGAACCACCCCGGAGTCATGGAGCATCAGGCATCCAACTGAAATGGAAAGCCCCATCTGCTCTGCTGTGAAAGATGGAAAAGAGGATACAAATGGGATCTGAGCATCATGACAGTGACAGAGGGCCTCCAGCCAGTAGGGGGTTTGGTTCACCTCGTTTTAGGTGCCTGCGTATAGGGCTGAACTCTCTTCTTGGTAGCTGATAGACATCCTTGAAGCAGTGATTTCATCTTGACTCCCTGAGGTCCTGCCCTGCCTGTCTCTGTGCTTCTGTAACAACAGTCTGGATCAGCAGCTGAATTAGACCTTCAGAGCTGGGTGAAGGGGCCTGAACCTTCACATGCAGGACACATAATCCCTGTCAGAATAGGTGGGTGCTTGAGCCTGGAGCAGCAGAGGGTACAGGAGGGATGTCTGGAAGGACATACAGATGGTTGGAAGGAAGGAATAGAACAGAATGCTTTGGGTTGGAAGATCATCCAGTTCCTACGCCTTCCTACAGGCAGCCACAGCTTCTCTGGGCACCCTGTGCCAGCGCCTCAGCACCCTCACAGGGAAGAGCTTCTGCCTCAGAGCTCATCTCAGTCTCCCCTCGGGCAGGTTCAAGCCATTCCCCTTGGCCTGTCCCTACATCCCTTGTCCCAAGCCCCTCTCCAGCTTTTCTGCAGTCCCTTCAGGCACTGGAGCTGCTCTCAGGTCTCCCCTTCAGGAGCCTTCTCTTCTCCAGGCTGCCCCAGCCCAGCTCTCTCAGCCTGGCTCCAGAGCAGAGCTGCTCCAGCATCTCCATTGCCTCCTCTGGACTCGCTCCAGCAGCTTCAAGTCCCTTTGTGCTGAGGTCTCATGAAAGCAGAAGATGCAGAGAAGACAACGGGGACAGTGGAAGGAACAGAGGCATGCGAGGACAGAGGATGACAAAGGGAGAGCTGGAAGGACAGAGGGGATGAGGGCAGCTCTCTGGTGCTGCCAGCTTCACCCCGGACGCCAGCTCCCTGCTGCCTGCCCAGACCCCGCTCAAGCAGAGGGGCAGGAGCCTGGGGAGAAGCCAAAGGCAAACCCAGGATTTGTTTGTGCATTTTTTCCTCCCTCCCTCTTGTGGAGTGGACGAAAGTCATCAAATGGAAGTGGTGGAGATGGGGGCCTCCAAGCAGGAGCCAGTTTTCCTGGCGCTGTTTTCCTGCTCCAGTTCCCGGTGGTGGCCAGAGCCATGGGCATCCTGGTGCATCCCCCATGAGCGAGCAAAAGGCCCCTCAGCCCCAGGTTTTCACCCTCCCGGGGTTGCAGCATCTGCTTTTCCTTCCCTCCCACCACACGTGTGGGACACAAACACCAGCTCCTCTTCTGCCTCTCAGATGTCTGAGCTAACCCGAAGTGACTCACTGGCCACACCAGGCTTGGACAGCACCAACGCATCCGGCCCATCTCTATAAATTCCCTGTGTCCCCATAAGATCTTGCTGAGCTGCGGGGTTTTTCTCTTGCAGGGACATGTCAAACCAGCGCCTCCAAAGGCTTTCACAGCATTCATCACAACAAAGCAACAAATGGTTTTCGCTGGTTTCCTGCTGGGGGTGAGAGGTTTGGACACTTCTAGAGAGTGGCAGGGGACAAAGGGACAGGAGCCATCACCAGGAACACGTTATGCTTAACCCATCGTGTGCCATCAGGATGTTTCCTCCCCGTTCTCATGCCCATGGGGCCACTGGGATGAGGGGTGCTCGATGGTCCTGCTCGCCACGCGGGTGTCCCCCAGACCCACACCCTGCTCAGCATCCTTCATGCTCTGAGCCCAGCTCACACACACTGGTTTAGATGCATGTCAGGAGTAAGGAGCAACCCCAACCAGCTCTGGGGCATCCACTGGTCCCCTTCTACCTACCCACCCTATGTGGATTTCAGTGTTAGCCTTTCAGCCTGGGTTTTGCAAAGACCCAAGTGTCTGGGGAGTCTCACCTTCTGGAGAAGGTATTTGAACAGAGGAAGGTTCACCTCTGCAGTTAAATGATGATATTCACCCTAAGGCTCAAGCTGCTCTCTTCTGGAGCTGCTGCTGCATCCCATTGTGAGGGATATGGAGGAATTTTTACTTTTGCTGTCCATGGTTTAGCTTTTCCTTGTGTGTGGCTAATGATGTACAAACAGATGATTCCTTGATGCAATGGCTGGGAGCCGAGGCCAGGAACCGAGGCAAGGATCACCTTGAATCAACCCATATTGAATTTGTTTGGAAAATTCTTGGTAAAGAACTAAACTGAAAAGAAAACAATATCAAAAATGACTTTGAATGAAGCCACAGTGAGTTTGGAATTGGGGCACCTTTTCCAGCTGAAATGTCTTATATTTTAAACGAAGAATCAGAAGGATATATATGATGGACACAACTTGCTGCAAGGGACCTCAGGTCCTTTCCCCCCCTGTTCTGCTGAGGCAGAGCCCTGGGGCAGAGAATTGGCAGCTCGCAGGGGTGCAGTGGGTGCTGGTGAGCAGAGCTGGACCAGCCTTCCCAACCCAAAGAGCTTCAAGGCTGGGATGGCATCGTCCCTGCTCATTTACCACATCTCATCGAAATCCAGTCTCTGCCCCTGCTCAGCACTGCCCCAGAGGGAAGGGACTGGAGTCGGCATTAAACATCCACAGCGAGTCTCAGCCTGGGAAAAGTGAGTGTTGGCCGATAGGGATCAGAGGCATCTTACCCTTTGCAGTCAGTACTTTCTATTCCAGAAGTGTTGCATGAGCCATGGGCTGGTTTGAAGTGTTTTGGAGGTGAACACACCACTAAAACGGAGATAGCTATCCCGGAGCCACTGGAATCCTTAGTGTTCTTATTGCTGCTTTCTCTCCTTTGCAGATATGACATTTGCATCTACAAGAACAAGCCATGCGGCACGCTGGGTAGGTAGGATTTTGCTGCCCCTTTGGAAGCACTTCCCACCAGTGCACACGTCTTTGGGAGCATGATGAGGGCAGGCTGGGCTGTCCCCCTTTCCTACTGAGCAAGCTGAGGGAAGCATTTGCCCAACGCTACTGCAAGCACTGGAAGCAGAGCCAGGAACAGGCCAATGGTTTCCAGCCCTCTCCACTGCAGCCTCCTTGCTTCTGTAAACACTAAAAGCAGCAACCCAGAGGATGGATGGGCTCCGGAATGCTTCTCCATTATATCCCTGGGTCAGGTCCAGCCTGATGATTAAGAACCTCTTGCATCTAGGGCTGGTCCATAGCCTAGTGGAGGATTCCTGGCTTAGCAGAGAGAAATCAGACTTTTTTGTGATGACTATAAAGGGAGTTCTTTATTTAAACTGCGAGACGCAGACAGAGCCTGCAGCTCTCTCTGGCTGTACCTCCTAATTTGTCTTGCTCTGGTCTAGACGAAGCAGGCAGGGAGGGATTACTGCCCTGAATCACTGCAATGAAAGAGGAGAAGTTGGTAGATCTCTGCCCCGATGTGGCTGCAGACAAGGTGCCTGGGAGGGAGGTTGAGGCTGGAGGTGCTGTGATGGCTCAAGTCTTTCCTTTAACAGATGTTGCTCCTTCCCTAGCCCGGTGCAGCAGGCACAGCCGGCAGTGGTGGGGCAATGTATGGGCAGAGGGTTGGGAGAATCTGCTGCCACGATTCAAGGGGGATTTCTGCATGATCCAGCCATCCAGGTGGAGTCAGGCTGGATTCCTGGTCATGGGAATGACACCTGGTGGGGGTCAGCCAGAGCCAAACACACATGGTCAGGCTGGATCCTGATTTAGTTGTCCAGGCTGCCCTGGCTGAGTTTGGATGCCCAAGTACTGGTGCAGCTGATCTCGGGTTCCCCCACCAGTAGTGCCGGTGTTGTGACAAGGACTGCTCCCTGCACACGGCCTGGGGGTTGGCTATGAAATTCACAGGATTTTGACCCATTATTTCATTTCCAAACCTGCCATTGCTAGCTCCGTTGACAGTGCTGACGTGTGCCCACAGCCTATAGGAGCCATGGGTCCATCCCGAAGCCCAGTGCAACCAGTGGGAAGAAACTTGTTGTTGAGAGTAGGCTATGCTCAGTGTTAGTGAGCACGAAGCACATTATGTAGTTCCCAGATAGCACCCATGTCCCCTCCAGATGATTTGTGCTGACCCTATGTGACAGCTCTCTCTGTTCCCCAGGCTTGGCCCCCGTTGGTGGGATGTGTGAACGAGAACGAAGCTGCAGCATCAATGAGGACATTGGCCTGGCCACAGCTTTCACCATTGCCCATGAGATTGGCCACACGTGAGTGCTGTGCTACAGGAATCCCTGGGAGTCACCGGGAAGGGTCCCTGTTGGTTTGTTCCTGCCAACAGGAGCTGGAAAAATCTTTCCTATGGATAATCCAGATGTGTTAACGCAGCTGATCATCTCTCTGCTGCCTTGATGGTGCTTTCAGGTTTGGCATGAATCACGATGGGGTCGGCAACAGCTGTGGCTCCCGTGGGCAAGAAACAGCCAAGCTCATGGCTGCTCACATCACCATGAAGACCAACCCGTTTGTATGGTCCACGTGCAGCAGGGATTACATCACCAGCTTCCTGGAGTAAGGAATCCACCCCACCTTGCCCTTCCTTCTTCCCTGTAGCCAGTACACACCTCCAGCCTCTCACTAGTGAGGAGTGGGTAAAGCCCCCAAAGCACAGCCCATGCACCGTCTGTCTTGTCTCCCAGCACCTCATCCTATCCCAAGCAGCATGGGATTTCCTTCTTTCCTTTAGAGACTTCTCCATGCTTTGCTTGCCTGCGGGAGACACCAACCCCATTTACCTTGCCGCTGTGAGACCTTTATTTAGGTTCCCCATTTCCAGACATTTCACAGGTAAATCAATAGCTTCTGGAGGCATTGGGATGTTTTGGAAGTGCAGCCAGGAATTGCAGAGGAGAGTTGGTGTGATGGGGAAGGAGGATCTGGAGACAGGACTGGGTCTGCAGAGTGTAGGCAGCCACTGAGGAGGAGTTTTCAGGTGTGATTGAGCTCCACAGGAGAAAGGTTTTGGTTGTGTTATCCAAACCACCTTTAGGGTTCAGGAGAAGGGATTTAGGCTCCTATGTCCCAAAGTTCTGCTGTTACCGCCTTGCCTGAGTCATGTTCTCTGCAACCTGAAAGCGCTTCTCATCCAGGGTTCAGGCAGTTCAGGTTTCTCTCACCAAACGAGCAGTCTGGATTTATTCTGCTGAGGTTTTGGGTAGGACGCAGGCGCTACCTAATAGGATTGGGTGATGATCAAAAGAAGCAAGTATGTGGGGTCACTGTGGAGGAGAGTCCCCAGGGAACGAATACCAGCCCTCTACCAGCAATGCTGCTGTTGTAACAGCCCCCGAGGAGCTGCCACCTACCCCGTGGTCCCACAGAGCTTGTCCCAAACCGCGTGGCTCGTCCCCAGACATCTGCAGCTCACGTCTGGCAGCAGCAGAACCTGCCCCCCTTAGCTCCTGACCCCTGGACGTGCACCGCAGCGAGGCACGTTGCATGGACAGCACTGGGAAAGCTGCCTCGTCCTCAGGTGACCCTGAAGCCTTGGCAGGGCTGGTGGAGTTTCATGTTCGGGTCAGCCCTCTCCACAGTTTGTGCTGGCCACCCCTGCCTGAGCACGGCCCCGGGAGCCTCTGCTGGGATGGGGAGTGCAAGACCCCGGGACTGGGGGAGTGGTGGCAGGGGCCTTGATTTAGGGAGAGCTCAGAGAGCAGCGGGGAAGGAGGAGGGAAAGGCGTGCGCCTGCAGAACTTGGATGCTCCTACAAAGCTCTGGCGTGCGGAAGGACAGGCTTGGAGAGCAGGGGCTGCCTGAGCTCCGTACCTCTGGCTGCTCTCTGCTGGGGCTCTGCAGCCATGGGGTGGGAGGGCAGACCCTGTGCATCCCTGCTGCCGCGTGAGCACGCGTTGGGACAGCCAGGGCCTGGCGAGAGCCTGCAAAAGCCTCAGATTAAAGCATCCAGAGTCACCTTGGAACCGGCCTGTGCTTCCCAGCCTGAGGGAGCAACAGAAAGACTCCAGAGCACTTTCCCAGCCGTGGTTTTACCCGGTTAAGCAGCCCCGTGCGGAGCAGGGAGCGCCTGCTGCTGGTCCTCCACCGCGATGCTCTCCTACAAGGCTTCCTGAGCTCTGATTCTCCTCTCTTGTTTCCAGCTCCGGGATGGGATTATGCCTGAACAACGCTCCTCCCAAGCAAGACTTTATCTACCCAACAGTGGCTCCAGGACAAGCCTATGATGCAGACGAGCAGTGCCGTTTCCAGTACGGAGTTAAATCTCGCCAGTGTAAATACGGGGTAGAGAGCCTTCCTGCTTTACTATCGGTTCCCAGGGGGTGGAGGACGGGGGTACAAGGGCAAAGGGCCCTGTGGGCCGTTCCTCTGCTGCCCACATCGCTTTGCTGTCCTGCTTCAAAGGAAGGGCACTGGCATGTTCCCTGTGAGCTTTTTGCCTTGCTTCCCTTGGGAGAGGCTGGAGGAGGTTGTTTCCCCCCAACAAGGGTTGACCCCAGCTCTGTTTCAGTCAGATTAGTCCCACCTTGGCTGCTGCTGGTCCCCAGGGGTTGCAGCTGGAAGGCAGGCTGCAGTCCCTTCATCCAGACTCCCCTCTCAGCAGGGCTTTGCACACAGATGTGTTTTTCCTCCTCCTCACTAGAAGTCATTCTGCTGCTCACACAAACTTAGGAGGAGAAATGTCTTTCTTCCAGGTGAGGTGGGTCGATGGGCAGCTCAGACACGTCTACAGCACACCTAAGCCACTCCTGCCGTCATGCTGCCGTTCCCATATCTTTGAATCCAAGAAACCACTGAAAGGGAAGGTTGTTTTGGGAGAAAAGAGTCTTCTTGGATCTCAGCCTGGCGTTTTGCTGTTCTTAATGTACTGGGCATTGCCAACCAGCTGGGCATAGTGATATGGGGAGATGCATGAGCAGCTCTGTTGTCTGATGGACGTGCATGTATGTGTACCCACGTCAGTCAGGCCCTGTGAAGGAGGAAACATCTCATACCAGGGTTTAGTTTCTCTTGCAACCATGTAAATGCCAGCCCAGTGCTGCCATTGCATTGACCAGATGTGAACACTCTGAACGTTCATCTCTTTAGTGCAGTTAATCCCTGAACCACCTCCTGGTGGTCTCCCCAGCTCATCTTGGTCAACAAAGGGCACAGTTTGGCTCTCCCTGGTCCAGTGCTGTCTTTTAGCATGGCCGAAGGGCCCAGAGCCCACTGGGCATGGGGATGTCCAGAGCAGCAGCAAACTGGGTCTGAATAACGTGGTCGTGGTAGCTGACGTCAGGTGCTCCTGCCTGCAGCCCCTGCTCCTCCTCAGCTGAGCCAGAGGCTGTGGAACGGAAATTTGCCACGTTTACATGCCTGCTTCCCAGCTAATTTTTAACTCGGGCAGGCTCTTCCTGTATATACACAAGGATGACAAAAGCACAAGGTGTCCTTGTGACGACCCTTCGTGCTTGTCTGCGGGAAGCCCAAAGGGTGGAAGGGCTCAAGGGCACGCAGATAGATCTGGGTGAATGTGCAAGTCCACCCATCCTGTGCCCATATAAACAAACTCCAGGGGCATGGCACAAACAGGGCAGCATCCCAGAGTAGATGATTAATAGACACAGCGAGGACAGAGCAAACGGATGTCACTGATTGAAGCTGGGAAGTCCTTTCCCTTGGTGACACAAAGCGACTACACAGGAACTCCTGCATCCCAATTGAGTGGTTTGGGTTGGAAAGGGCCTTAAAGCTCACCCAGTTCCAAAACCCTGCCACAGGCAGGGACATCTTCCACTAGAGCAGCTTGCTTCAAGCCCCGGTGTCCAGCCTGGCCTTGAGCACTGCCAGGGATGGGGCACAGCTCAGGAGACCAAGTGCAGGAGGGTGTTGAAGTGTTTGCATGTGTTGAAGTCCAGCCTGGTTGATTCAGTGGCAGAGCAGGTTCACAGCACCTGGACTTTCTGCTTTAGCAGCTGTGACTATGGCAGAGTCTCTGCCATGGACCTAACTTCTGGGTAGCTTCTGGAAACAGAGGAAATGGTCAAGGGAAGCTTTTTGTTTGCTGGTGCTGTGAGGCTGAAGCTCAGGATCTGAGACTCAAGAAGCCTCCTGGAAAGAAGTGTAGAGTCCTCAGCCCAGCATCACTCAGTGGACCTGGCTGCACCAAGCAGAAACAGAGAGAAGTGCCCACTTCTGGAGCTCCTTGAGGGCTAGCTCAGGATCTGACATTATTGTGATTGTCCTGAAGACAGCTCTGAATCTTCCAGAGGCCTCTTCCCTTTAGCACTGTTCTGCTGCCTGGAGATTGCCAGTACTAAGGTAGTCACACTGTGACCTGCCGTGCATTCCTGTAGCAGGAGATGGCAGATGTGCCATGCTGATGCTCCCGGGGAGCCCCAGCTTCCCACAGAGGCAGATCCAGATCCGTGTGGCAGATCTGGAGCCGCGTGGCGAAGGGATGCTCGTGGCAGGTGGTAGGAATGGGTCCTTGAGCTCAGCATCCACTGCGCAGTGCCACAAAAGAGAACGTCCCTCAGCCCTGGGGAGAGGGCTCAGGTGGAGCACAGCAGGATTAGCTGGGGCCTCGCTGGGATGTCCAAGGAGATGTGTCCTCTGTGGCACAAAGCCCGGGTTGGTGGGGGCTGTCTGGGGTGCCAGCTCTGGCACCTGAATGCTGCGGAACCCCCAAATCCCAAGAGGTTGGAGGTCTCCCAGCCCAGGCTTAGTCCAGAGAAGGGGAATGAGCTGTCAGTGGCCTTGGGGTGACTGCAGCTGGCAACACCTCACAAGACTTGATCTCATTTACCCCCCACCATGCTGGAACTGCTCCTGTCCCTGTGTCCCAGCCCAGCACCAGTGTGCTGCTGCCCCGGCCTCACAGCCCCCAGCACCAGTGAATCCTGATCTCAGCTTTGTTTCTTTGTCTCTTTCTTCCTCCCTCCCACTCTTTCCCCCAATTTCTCTCTCTTTCCAGGAAGTCTGCAGTGAGTTATGGTGTCTGAGCAAAAGCAACCGCTGCATAACCAACAGCATCCCTGCTGCTGAGGGGACCATATGCCAAACCAACACCATTGAAAAGGGGGTAAGGAAGCCTGGGGCACCTTAGTGAGATGACAGTGAGTGGCTGAATCGCTCTTCCAGTGATAACAGGGATTATTGTTTGCATTGGTGAGCACAGAGTTGATTTAAGAGCACCCACCAGCCTGTCCTTCCCTGCATCCCAGAGCCTGGAGCCACCCCACCATCCCCATTGGCACGGAGAGAGGCAGGGATGTGCCTGCAGAGCATGGGATCCTGTCTTTGGAAAGGCACTGGTGTGCTGGGAGGTGGCTCTAGGAGTGTCCTGGGAGGCCATGGATCATTTTCCCTGCTGGTTGTGCTCAGAAGGAGCCAGGAGAGGCCGTGCCAGCAGCTCCAGGCTGGGTTATCAGCCCCTGGAAGGAGCACACAGCGGTTCCTTCCTTCCTGGGATTATCTCAGTCCCTGAGGCGTGGTGTCCGGCACCGTGCCCGGAGAACGGCAGCCAGGCTGGCACTGTCCCACTCCTTGCATCACTGGTGGCTCCACGGGGTGCAGGATGCTTTCCAGCTCCAAGGGAAATAGTTCATAGGCAAGTTTCTCTGAGCATCTTTAAGGCAGAACAGTGACACAACCAGGGTTTTATTGCAATCAAAACTTGATGTTAACCTGGGCCCTTTGCAGAGCAGCATGTTTTAATTCGCTACCCACAACTTCAGCTCCCAGTACACGTACAAAACTCACTCCATGCTGGGAGGGAGCAGCTGCTGGAGGAGATGTCCACACTCCCCAGGGATCCTGGCCCTGCTGCCCAGGTCCAAGTCCCATGGGACTTGCTGCCACGTACTATTGCAGGCAGCAAATTGTGTGCTCTTACTTGTCTGTTAACAACCTGTGGCACCCCGGTGCCTGGGACCCCTTCAGAGCAGAAGTGGGGATGTGACCCCCTTTGCCATGGCTCCCTGCCCCGCAGGATGGTGCCCAGGGGGGTTGGAGAGGGGGCGCTGGTCCCAGCATCCCTGTGAACCCCAAGTCTGCAGCACGTGCAAATGGTGACAGTGTGCCTCAGAGGAGAGGGTGCCTGCAGAGAGACAAATGTGCCCTGCAATGGGGTTCAACCCTGATCCCAGCCCTGAACTGGCTGCTGTGTCTGGTGGAGGCTGTGGGAGGAGATGACTGTGCTCAGGGGGGGTTAAGGCTCTGTCTTCCTCCAGTGGTGCTACAAGAGGGAGTGCGTGCCTTTCGGCACCCGGCCGGAGGGCGTGGATGGTGCCTGGGGAGCCTGGTCCTCCTGGGGGGAGTGCAGCAGGACATGCGGTGGAGGTGTCTCGTCATCCGTTCGCCACTGTGACAGCCCCCGGTAGGTGTGCGTGCGTGTGGCCATGGCTGCCGGCTCAGCGGCAGAGGCAGCAGCCAGGTTCCTGCTTCCCCAGCAGCTCGTTGCTCTTGCTTTGCTGTTGGTCTGCAGCTACAGGGTTGTACAACTCCAGTGTGTGCTTGCAGCTGAGCCCGTGAGGTCTGCTCAGGACCTGCACTTCGGCAACAGCCCCTCCGTGCAGGATGCGTCCTTGCAGGGCTGGGCAAAGGCAGGGTGCTCCAGCAAACTCAAAGAGCTGCTGCCACAAAACCAGCTCCGTTCCCTAAGCTTCTGTCTCATTCCCAGGCCCACGATCGGGGGAAAGTACTGCCTGGGGGAGAGGAAGCGGTACCGGTCCTGCAACACCGATGTGAGTACTGCCAGGTTTGAGTTGAGAGGGAGCAGGGCTTTGCTGGTGGGGCAGGATGAGCCCTTTCCACATGGATACGGGGCATTATGGAACCCGTGGGAGGAGGCAGCCGATGGGGTGAGCCACGCGGTGCCGGCAGCAATCCCGCAGTGGGGAAATCCAAGCAGGACCATGCACGCCTTCGCCAGGCTCAGAGGGAGGCTGGGTCAGGATGTACCTGCAGGGCTGCGGCATTGAGAAGGGGCCCAAAGAGATACCAAGGGAAAGGAGAGATCAGAGGCTTCCAGCACTGATGTGACAGCGATTGCCTCTCGCAGTGCAGGTGTGGTCGGGTGAGAGCAGCTCACAAAACCCAGTGTAGTGCCCTGCTCCCAGGGCTGAGGGTGAAACCATAATGGGAGCAAGGAAATAACTGCTGCAGGGAAGCTCAATGCAGCTTTGAGCCTGGGAAACAACAGCTTTAACATCCACAGGCTGGTGGTGAAGAAAAGAGATGGCTTCCCACTGCTTATCCTGGGTTTTGCACCCGGCTTTCAAAGGAGCCTTGGGTGACGTGGTCTAATGTGAGGTGTCCTTGCCCATGGCAAGGGGGTTGGAACTAAATGATCTTAAGGTCCTTTCCAAGCCTAACTGTTCTGATTCTGACTGCTCACAAGAGTGCGGAAAGTGCTCGTGCCGTTAGTCTTTATACAGTGTCTTTGCATGAGGGATGCTCCTGCCGTACTGTATCAGCGTCCAGCTGTCAGGGTTGGTGTCCACCTCCTCGAAGGGCTGGTGCTACCCGCAGCCCCTGCCCTCTCAGGGGCTCACGCAGGGCACTGATGGCCGGTTGTGTGGCTGCAGGACTGCCCGCCGGGCTCCCAGGACTTCCGAGAGCTCCAGTGTGCCGAGTTCGACAACGTCCCCTTCCGAGGGAAGTACTACACCTGGAAGACGTACCGCGGAGGTGAGTGCCGCGCCGTGCTCTCCTCCACCCTCTGCAGGGACAGGTCTCGTGCTCCGGGTGGGCTGGTGGGCAGTCACCCCCTCTGCCAGCCCAGTCACCCCCTCTGTGTGCCTGGGTGTGCTGCTTCCCCCTCACGCAACTATGGCTCGATGAGCATCCCTCCGCATGGCTGGCCCTGCTGCTTGCCCGTAACCATCTTGCTGTGCCCCGTGGCCTGGGTCACTTAGCTCTTGTACAGTTCCCTGCCAGAAACAATTCCAGCAGCACCGGAGCTGTTCAGCTGCTTGGATAGAATCAGAGAATCAGCAAGGTGGCAGTGGGGGTTGGAACTGAAGGATCTTTAAGGTCTCTTCCAGCCCAAACCATTCTATGATTCTAAGGTTGGAAAAGACCTTCAAGAGCATCCAGTCCAACCATTCCCAGCAGTGCCAAAGCTACCACTAACCCCTGGCACTGAGGCTTCGTCTCCACACTGTGTGAACACTTGCAGGGACAGTGACTGCAGCCCTGCCCTGGGCAGGCTCTTCCAGTGCCTGAGCACCCTCTGGGGAAGGAATTGTTCCTAATATCCTCAGGTCTGTTTCCTTAAATGCAGAGGGAGCAGAGGGAGACGGACAAGAGAAGGGAGCTGTTAGTGTCTGGTACCCAATGGGGAGAAGAAGGCAGAAGGGATGGGAACTGATGGATGCTGCAAAGAGCAGCGCTCCCTTCTTCCTGAGGTCAGCCCTCCCGTGTCCTGCAGAAGTGTCTAGCGAGGAGAAGGGGCAGGAGGAGGCCTCTGTGACAGAACTCTCTTCATAATGAGAAAGAGCAGTGCATCTCCTTGGTGTAGTTAATGAACTTGACTGGGGAAATCCTTCTCAGCTGTGTAAATAAGCTCGGCTCCCAGCGGGGCTCCTGCAGCTGGAGCAGATGTGCTGAGGCTGCAGGGGATGGATCAATAGAAATGTAATAAAAGTGCAAAGCAGTCACACACACAGAGCCCAATGGATGCCAAGGTGGAATACAGCCCCCAGGCTGGAGCTGCCCTTGCTTAGACCTCTCTCTTCCCCAAGCGTGGCTCAGTGCTTTGAGGCCAGGGAACAGTTGCCCAGTTGAGCATTGACCTGGCTCTGACATGGATTTTTGCTTTGCCTTTCGAAAAGCACCTTCCTCCCTCTGCTTCAGCTTTCTCTTCCATGAAATAAGATGATGAAACCTGTCTGCTTCCCAGGGGACTGTGAGCGTTGACACAGCTGTGTCTCGAAGGGATTTGGGAGCTCTCTGGCTCAGCTTTGCAGCTTGGCGGTGGGTATTGGTCAGGAGGAGCTGTGTTGCTCAGCAGTTCTGGTTTGGTTATTCAGCATCAAAGGGTATCGCTGTCCTCCCATGCAGTGATCCAGGCAGGGAAACTGAGGCACACTCACACAAGTAGAGAGGTGCTGGAGGCTGCAGCTCCTCGGCCTGGCCAAGGGAATGCTCTGGAGAAATCCCAGCACCACCAGCCAGGATTAGCAGGGTCAGCTCTTCATGGCATGGGCTCTCCACACTGGACCCGGTTGGGAATGTGGAGGTGGGAAGGTGTCAGCACTGCTCCCCTCCACTTATGAGCTTCTTTGTCCAAGCCTGGGCACTTGGTCAGGGTTGGGGACACCCGGTTGCAGCCGTTCAATACGTAAAGGGGGCTTATGGGAAAGATGGAGAGACTTTTTACCAAGGCCTTTAGCAGCAGGGCAAGGGTTGACAATGCTGAGAGCAAAGAGGGTGGCTTTACAGTGGACATAAGGAAGAAACAGTGAGGGTACTTGAGGCCCTGGCACAGGGTGCCCACAGAAGCTGTGGCTGCCCCATCCCTGGCACAAGCAGCTCCCCAGAATCCATCCCTATTGTGTTCTAACCCTCCAGCTGGTGGCACACCTGCTCTTCAGGTTCCTTTGGGGCACGTGTCTGTGCTTTGGGAGTCATTCACCATCCTGGCTCTCTGCTGAGCCTCTTACCCTGCTCAGCTCAGCCGCTGCCTTCAGCACAGCACCTTTGAGCCCCCCTTGCAGAAAGGTGCTCGTGTCATTTGCCCATCAGATGCTGGCCCCACACCACACCAGGGAACTGGCCTGGGCATGGAGCACCCCCAGCCTGAAGGCAAGGAGTACCCCACTAGCCTGGATGGGGGGGACACTGATCCTGCAAGGAGTTTGGGAAGGGAAGGAGCCACCCACTGAAAGTCTGACACCAGCTGCCAGGTCATCGGCAAGTCTACAGCTACCTGCAGGAGGATGGAGCCAGGAGGGGCTGGGCTCTGCTCCCAAGGAACAAGGGATGGGACAAGAGGAACCGGCCTCAAGCTGCACCAGGGCAGGTTTAGATGGAGCTGAGGAATAATTCCTGCCCCAGAGGGTGCTCAGGCATTGGAACAGGCTGCCCAGGGCAGGGCTGCAGGCACCGTCCCTGCAAGTGTTCACACCCCGTGGAGACGAGGCCTCAGTGCCATGGGGCAGGGGTGGCCTTGGCAGAGCTGGGGAATGGTTGGACTTGATGCTCTTGAAGGTCTTTCCCAACCCGGTTCATTCTGTGATCCTAGGTCGAGGTGGGTTTTGCATGGGGCTCGTAGGTCGTGTTTTGCTGGTGGTGATTTATAATGGACACGGCCCCAGCCCGAAGCGCTGAGCTCAGCAGGCAGCAGATACCTCGTGGAATGCAGCTTGAGCTGTTTGTTTAGTTTGCTCTATTCAATTAGTTATTCATTTTGCTCTTGGCAGGTGGCAGAGCCAAGGGAGAGCGGAGCAGCTCGTGGGGCTGGGAGAGGGCTGGGAAGGAGCAGGGGCTTGCAGCAAACAGGAGATTGCTCCTCATAAATCATTGTGTGCTTTAAGTCCTCTATGGGACAGGGCAGGCAGGAGAAACAAACCAGCCTCTGAGGCCCTGTGCAGCCAGCTGAAAATCAGTCTGTGCTACTCTGCTCCTGGCCATTTCCCTTTCCTTCTTTCCCCTTCCCTTCCCTAATGGAAGCAGGGCTGGGAGAGAGCAGAAGCTTGCTGTGGCCGGGGTTAGCTGCCCACCAGCAAGGCGTTTGAGGTGCGCCTGGCTTTGCCTTGTAGTGGAGACAAGGAAGAGAACAGGGAGCACACTTGGATAGCTCAGCAAGCCCATCTCAGAGCCCTGCAATGAAAGCCCAGAGGGTGGCTGGCTGGAGCTGGGGCCGGGCTGTTCTCAGGGTCATGCCTGCACCGTCCCCCTTGGTGGCCCTGAAGAGCCCAGGGTGCTGCACTTGGTGCTGGCTCTCCAGAAGGAGGGTTGATATCCAACACCTTCTTTGGGGGCTTGCCCAGGCATCCAGCTCCACAGCATGCCTCCAGGCTGCCGAATTCCCCTCTCCCGTCTCCTCCTGTTCTTCCTGCTTTGCTCTTTCTTCTTTTGGTGCTCGCAGGCACATCGGGGCCGTCCCTCCCTCCCTCTGCCCCTTCCACGCGCTCTGTTGAGTCACAAGCCTTGCAGACGTCTGCTGCTCCCAATTTAGGTGCTGCCCAGCTCTGGCACACCGCTCACAACTGCTGCTGGTGCCTGCAGGAGTGAGCTGCCACGGCTGAGGCGTGAGACCCTCTGCCAGGGTCATGCAGACCCTTGGGTCTCCAAGGGATGCTCAGGAAAGGCAGCAAATGCCATGATCTGCACCAGCATTTGATGAAATCCAATGACAGGAGGCAGGAGACTGCTCTGCTCGGGTGTCTCCTTCCATAACCAGTCCCACATCCTGCTCCCAGGCACCATAAGCCAATATCCAGATCAACAACCTCTGTTCCTTGTATGGTGCTTTGGCAAGGGCTGTTGGGAAGCAGGTATTTTAGCTATAACTTGAGCATCCTCCTTCTTTGTCCTCATGCTGCTGTCATCACCTTTGCTGTGAGTGACTCAGTGAAGCACCAGCCTGGAACAGAAGGAAGTGGTTGCTCTGGTCTAGTAGCTCAAAAACCTTGGAGAAGTTGCCTAAGAGCTGCTGCCTCCGTTTCCCTGTCTGTAAAATGGGCACAAGGGTGTCAACAGCCCTTGTAAAGCGCCAGGGGGGTCAGGAGTGGCCCGCACCACATAAAACCAAGTCAGTTTGTTTCCTTCCCTGTCACATACAGCCCGTGTTCCCCAGGCTGTGCGGAAGGATCAGGTTCAAGGATCTTGGTGCTGATCAATAAGGAGGGTTCCTGCATCCCTCTGTGGGTCCCTCCACTCAGCAGAGCCTCCCTCCTGGGCACCTGGAGCTGTGCAGTGCACCAGGCGCAGGATGGAGACCTGGAGAAGCCCAAGGATAAGGCAGCCCTCATCCAGCTCTGCCTCCCCTCATCTTTCCTCTCTGCCCTTGGGGGCACCCTTTGAACCTCTGCTTCTTTCCCAGGGGGTGTTAAAGCCTGTTCCCTCAACTGCCTGGCCGAGGGCTTCAACTTCTACACAGAGCGAGCGGCGGCCGTGGTGGACGGGACCCCGTGCCGGCAGGACTCCAACGACATCTGCGTCAATGGGGAGTGCAAGGTGCTGGGCCACGCTCGGCATGGGGATGCAAAGGCAGACCCTGGGGCAGGGGAGTGCTGCCCTCCCCCTGCCTGCACAGCCCTGGGCACCCCTCTGCCCCAGCACCCGGTTCACCCATGGGAGCAGGAGCACGTCCACCCCTGCGCTTGCGCCCATCCCTTCTCCATGCACCGGGTGTCACGCTGCCCTGTATTAATGATGGGTCCCTGCATTTACAGCCCGTGTAGACCCAGGCGCTTGATATTTCCCTTGAAATGGGATCTGGAAGGCTATAAAAGTTTAATTATAAGGAAGCGCTGTGGGAGTGGTGAATGTTGCCCAGCAGGCAAGCAGACAGGCTCCCTCCCTGGCTCTGTCTGTCTCCCTTCCTGTGTCTCTGGGATCTTTCGGCCTCTATGGGGCTGAATCTACTGTGGAACTAAAGGGGGATTGCGCCAGAGGCAGCCACAGCCGTGCTGGTGACGCATCCTAACCCATGTGCTGTGGCAATGGGGCAGAGCTGGAGGCTTCCCTTGGGCTCACTACCACAATGCTGGTGCTGCGTGAACACGGCTCTCCTTGGGCAGCTCCATCAGCTCAACACAGGCACCCTCACCTGTGCCTTATCCCACAGCCATGGGTCTCCTGCTTGTTCCCCCACCCCAGCCTTGGAGAGAGACCCCCTGGGCTGTCCCTGGAGAGTGGGGACAGGAAGATGGGCTTGGGCAGAGGGGATGCTCCCGTACCTGGTGTACGGTGCACTGGAGGGGATTGAGATGGAGCCCAGGGATGGGCTCCCTGGGATGCTGCAGGCCAGCTCTGGGGAGGACAAGCCCCACCACCACCACCATAATGGCTGATTCCTTGCTGCTCCTCCCTCCAGCACGTGGGCTGCGACCGTGTCCTGGGCTCTGACTCAAAGGAGGACAAGTGTCGGGTGTGTGGTGGAGACGGCAGCTCCTGTGAGACCATCGAGGGTGTCTTCAACCAGTCCCTGCCGGAGGGAGGTAGGGAGCAAGCAGTCGGTGTCACTCACCCTTGAGTCCCTCCTCAGCTTCCCCTGCTCCTGGGGACATGCGGGACAGGGCACAGGGGCAACATCCCAAAGGATAGGACCAGGCTGCAAGCAGGGAGCAAATCACCAACCGAGCCATGGCACCCAGGTTCCTAACACAGAGCACCAGGTTCCTTCCCTCCTCCCCAGCTCGCGCTGTCCTCAAGCCAGGCTGTGGAGATGCCCACAGAGATCCCAGCCCCACAGCACCTCCCCAGCAAGGCCGGTCCCATCACAACAGCTTGCACTGCAAAGCGAGAAAGCCGCTGTCCTGGTGGGCCATGGTGCTTTTTGTTTTCAGCTGCAGTAGGTGGCTGAACAAACCCCTTTGCACTGCCAGCACCTCGGTTTAACCCATGGGTCACAGGGGGGCTTCACCCTCTCATCCATCCAGGGCAGGGTTGGCTCCGGGCTCGGAGGCTGAGCATCACTGCTCACTGGGCTGTCTCACAGGTTACGAGGAGGTGATCCAGATTCCCAAAGGCTCTGTCCACATCGACATCCGGGAGCTGAACCTCTCCATCAACTACCTAGGTGAGCTGGGGCTGGGGGATGCTGAAATCCCAGCCGGACATCCCTTGGTCCTGCCATTTCCCTGTGCTTAATAAGGGGTGGGAGAGGCCCAGCAAGGGAAAACTCCCATTGCAGCAGGGGATGGGGCTGCGGGTCCCAGCTTGGGATTTGGGACAGAGGAAGGCAGCAGGACCTGCTTGCAGGGCACCATGTCCCAGCGTGTCCCAGGCCCTCGCAGTCTTGCTGTGGCCGTGGCTCCATCCTGCACTTGATGTCCAGCAGCGTAACCCTGAGCAAACCCCACACCCCGTGTTCCTGGCGCTGGCTGTGGCTCCCTGGCATCCCCCCTCCGCCAGCATGTTGGGCTGGGGATTGAAAATAGACCTGCTCACATTTTCCTTGGGCTTAACTTTCCAGCCAGACTCTGGCTCGTTTTCACAACGGGCTCTTTTCTTTCCCCACGTCTTCCCTCTGCATCCTCCAGGTGATGGGCAGTGCTCGCGGAGGGGTGGGCAGGGTGCTCACTGCTGGCTTGATGCCGGGTGCCTCCGCAGCAGCTCTTCAGGAGCAGGAGCCTGCCTGGATGTGGGAGGTCACAGCGGGGCTCTCCTGGCAGCATCCCTCCAGGCCAGCTCCCTTTGCTGTGTTTGGAGATGCCCACATCCCTCCCTGCCCAGTCCATGCCTACTGGGGACTCCTTATGTCCATCCACACTGGATCTGGGTGCACTGGAGGCACAGCCCGAGCTCGTAGCACTGCCACATTTGGGATCTATCCCTGCGCACCAGTGGGAGCAGAGGGAGCATCCTCCATCCTCACCACTGCGAAGCCTCCTCCCCGCCCCACAGCATCACGGCAGCGAGGTCGTTGCCAGCAGGCAGGGCAGGAGTGACACAGAGCCGGTGGGGACAGCAGCGGGTGTTGGTGGCAAGGAGCAAAACCGGGAGAGCGTGCGAATGCGAGCGGGAAGCCGGAACGCGCCGATCCCCCTCTAGCGACTCGCTTGGGCAAGCGCAGCCAGGCTCCTGGGGACCGGGCTCCTGGGGACCAGCCTCTGCAGCAGCCCCGGCTGCACACGGGCATTGGATTCATGATGGTGGCCGTGTGTCCCCATCAGCACCCCGGGCAGCTGACTGAGCCCCCCATAACATCACCCTTCCACAAGGATGGACAAGCTGAGACAAGGTGATGGGGACATGAGTCCCACTTCTGCAAGTGACTTCCTGGGCGACCCTGATCCGGGCACATCCTTTATTTGCCTCACCTATTCCCTCCGTGTAAAATGGGGCTGATGATATTCACCCTCTGCTGCAGCAGTGCCCTGGGCCTGATTAAGCTGGGTGGGTTCAGTCCTTCTGCCAACCCTTGCTCCCCTTGTCCTCGCAGCACTGAGAGGGGAGAACGGCGACTATTACATCAATGGGAAGCTCTCCATCGACCCACCACGGCGCTTTGACATCGCAGGCACAACATTCCACTACAGGAGATCCCCAGATGAGCCTGAGTCCCTGGAGGCCTTGGGACCCACCAACGTCACCCTCTTTGTCATGGTTGGTAACGTGGTTCCCTCGTACCCCCACCTGGTATGGACCTTGCTATGACTACATGGGATTGGAGCTAATCAATGTGCTTCCTATTTGGAGTAAAGGGACACAGAAATCAGAGGTAAATAGGGCTAACTTCTCAGGTCTCCCTGAGAAAGCCAGGCTTTGGAATGATACAGTCTTCAAGTGCATGGGAAGTTGTTCTCTGGTCAGGTCACCATCACTGGTGGCTGCTGTGTCAATGCTGGAAAGGGAAGGAGGGGAAATTTCAGCTGCACTGGATTTTAGAGAGGGTGCTGAGGTTGTGGGACACTATCAGGATGCTCATAATCATGCTGGGCTTCGGTGGCACTGATGCCTTGGTGATGACTTTCTCTACAGGTCCTCGTACGGACAGAGCTGCAGGGGATCCGGTACAAGTTCAACGCGCCCATCGGCAGGGATGCCTCCAACCAGTATTCCTGGCACTACGCCCCATGGACAAAATGCTCAGTGCTGTGTGCTGGGGGTGAGGTTTGACCCCGTGTCAGCTTGGGGGGGCTTGGGTGCAGTGACGAGTGGCTGCTCTGTCACATTGCCCATATGGGAGCAGAGCGCTGCAGCCTGCCTCAGCTCTGGCCTCAGGACCCTCCTCTCTTTTCCCCTTACCTCTTTGTCTTGACAGGCAGCCAGATCCAGTCTGTGGTGTGCAGGAAGCTTTCCGATGGCTCAACTGTCTCCAACCACTTCTGTAGCCCTGAAGCCAAAATGCCCGAGCGGCAGCGGCTGTGCAATGTGGAACCGTGCCCTCCGGCGTGAGTACCACGGCTTGGAGGGATGCTGGGGGGAAAAGCCAGTGTTGGAGGAGAGTGAAATTCCCCCCTTGCTGCTATCCTCAAGTCAGAGTCCCCAGCAGTGATACTACCTGGCTGGAGCAGCTCTGTTGGGAAGGGGGAGGGCAGTTTTCTCTGTGCCCCATCATGGGCACAATACCCGCACATCCCAAGCACATCGCTGCAGGGAATGGGCAGTGAACATACAAGGAGCAGAAACCTGTGTCCATCTCGGTGCTCTGTGCACGAGGGTACCCCCTGCACGAGGCTACACCGTGCCTTGCTGGGTGAAAGATGCCCTGAGCACATGGTGTGATGGCTGAGGATGGTCTCTGTGGGTGAGCTCCTCCCTGTGCTGCTGGGCTACTTGCAGGAAGGAGCCCTCCCCATCTGGTCCTTTGGTGCAAAGCAGATGCTCTGTGAGCTCCTTCCGAAGTTGTCCCAGCCCCAGCTTGGCCGGTTCTTGCCCCTCTCTTTGAAGGGGAAAGGGAGATGTGAGAACCGTGGTTCACCCAGAGCTGCCCGGGAGGCTGGAGGAGGAGCAGGGCTGTGTACAGGAGTACGGGGACAAGCATGTCCCCAGTGTGCCCCTCACAAGGTTCTCTGTTGTACCCGTCCCCAGCTGGGTGATTGGGAACTGGTCTGAATGCAGCCGAAGCTGCAACGAGGGCGTCCGCACGCGCAGCGTCTTCTGCAAGCGTAAGATCTCTGCCGCTGAGGAGAAGACCTTGGATGATGCTTCCTGCACCCATCCACGGCCAAAGATGCTGGAGCCTTGCAATAACCAGACGTGCCCTCCAGAGTGGGTTGCCCTGGACTGGTCTGAGGTGAGTGCAGAGTGTCAGCCCTCACCTCCCTGGTGCCACTGGTCCTTTGGAAGACAGCATCAGTCACTAGGTCAGAGCATTGCTGACAGCTGCAGCAGGGAGAGAGCAGTGTGGGAAACCATCTTGTAGGTCAGGAGAGAGGCAAGGTGGGAGCACTGGGAGGGAAGGCCAGTGCAGTGCTGCCTCTCTTGGCTCTTTGCTGCATGTGCTGTTGAAGCAAGTCCAGAGGAGGCCATGGAGATGCTGCCAGGGCTGGAGCAGCTCTGCTCTGGAGCCAGGCTGAGAGAGCTGGGCTGGGGCAGCCTGGAGAAGAGAAGGCTCCTGAAGGGGAGACCTGAGAGCAGCTCCAGTGCCTGAAGGGGCTGCAGGAAACCTGGAGAGGGGCTTGGGACAAGGGCCTGTAGGGACAGGCCAAGGGGAATGGCTTGAACCTGCCCGAGGGGAGACTGAGATGAGCTCTTAGGCAGAAGCTCTTCCCTGGGAGGGTGCTGAGGCGCTGGCACAGGGTGCCCAGAGAAGCTGTGGCTGCCCCATCCCTGGCAGTGTTCAAGGCCAGGTTGGACACAGGGGCTTGGAGCAAGCTGCTCCGGTGGAAGGGGTCCCTGCCCGTGGCAGGGGTTGGAGCTGGAGGAGCTTTAAGGTCCCTTCCAACCCAACCCAGGCTGGGACCCGATGGTTCTGCGATCCTGACCCCATGTGTCCTCTCCTTGCAGTGCACCCCAAGCTGCGGGCCCGGTTTCCGCCACCGCATCGTCCTCTGCAAGAGCGGTGACCACAGCACAACTCTGCCCCCGTCCCAGTGCCACGAAGGCTCCAAGCCCCCGAGCAGCATGAGGTGCAACCTGCGGCGCTGCCCGCCTCCGCGCTGGGTCACCGGCGAGTGGGGAGAGGTAGGGACAAGCCTTCCATGGGGCTCTGCCTCCCCAGCCGTTCCCATCCTAGTGCTCATGAGGCTTTTACCTCCCAGCAGAACCCAGTGTGGCCACCACAGCTGTCTGGGGGCCAGCAGGACTCCACGGTGGTGTTCTTTGCCCCTCCTTAGCTCAGGAAGGCCACTGTGATGGTGACCCAAGTGCCACCCATCAAGAGTCTCCCTGGGAGACTCCCAGGCCTGGCAGGGGACCCACAGAAATCATTGGGGGGACCCCACAGGTATCTGGGGGGCAGCAGGGCAATGAGGATGGGAGCGATGGGCTGCAGAGGTGAGGCTGCTGCTGCTCCAGCCCAGCCCGGTGGCACTGACAGTGCCCCCTTCCCCTAACACCCCTCAAACCTCGGGGTGACATCAGGGTGCAGGTGGTTTAGGGCTGGAGGGATTGATCCTTGCTGAGTCCTGGAGGATAGAACCAAGCTTTTCGGGACGCGGGGCCACTGCTCCGCTGCGCTGGTGTGGGAAGGGATGGCTGCATCCAGCACCCTTTGCACCTCTAAGACCTGGCAGTGCTCTCTCCCCCTGGGCTAGCAGAGCCGTGGTGGCTGCTGCAGCTCCGTGCTGTGCTGTTCCCCGCAGTGCTCTGCACAGTGTGGCCTTGGCCAGCAAAGAAGATCCGTCCAGTGCCTGGCTCATACTGGGCAGCCGTCCAGCGACTGCGTGGAGACCCTGCAGCCTCCCGGCATGCAGCAGTGTGAGACCAAGTGTGAATCGGGACCTACAGACAACCCTGAAGGTGAGGGACATGGGGCTGGCCTCGGGGGTGACGTGGTCAAGGACATAGGAGTCAGTACAGCCCACGATGGGCTCTTGGTGCTGGGGGCTGTGGGTACAGCTCTCCATGGGGAGACCTGACGTTATCCCTTCTGATCCCTGGCCAAACTGGCATGCTGTGACCCTGCTTAATGGAGTGGCTGCACCTTGGCAAGGAGAGGCGTTCAGTAGTGGGGTCCTTCAGCTTGTGCCTTCCTGGCAAAATGCCCCCAGGAACCGGGCTTTGGGGTGCAAAACCTTGCTTAGCACTGGGTATGTCTCCCCCGGCGGCTCCTCACCCCCAAGGCAGTTGTAACCCTTCTTCCCCCTGTCACCCATCCAGAATGCAAGGATGTGAACAAGGTGGCCTACTGCCCGCTCGTCCTGAAGTTCAAGTTCTGCAGCCGGACCTACTTCCGACAGATGTGCTGTAAAACGTGCCAGGGGCACTAGGGAGCCAGCGTGACCCCCGTGGGATAACTGGAAGGCAAAAGCTCTGCCAAAGGGCCACCAAGCCGTGCCCTTCCTTCTCCGTCCCGGCAACCTCCCCTGGGCCCAACACAGACACTGCTCGTGCTTCCAGCGGGAGCCGGCGTCACCCAAACCCGTCCCCCAAAGACACGCACCCTTGGCCCCTGAGCTTCCCAAGGGCAGGCTCCCAGTTAAATCACACCAGTGCGACAGGAGCCGGCCGATGGGCGCTGGGAGAAGCTGGGCGCAGCGCAGCAGCGAGGACGTTACTTGAACTTCTGACTTGTTATTTATTAGTAGCAGACCCAGGTCCTGCAGCCAGCCAAGAGGCACCGCTCACCCCGCTCCTGCCTCGTCCTGCTCCGTGCCCGTGTCCCCACGGCGTCTGGTCTGCAGCGGAGCATCCCCGGGGAGGGCGCTGCCTGTCCCTTGGGCATCCCAGGGCAGACAAGGAAGAGGTTTGAGGTGCCGCAGGTGACGAGCGTGGCTTGTGGCTGCTGGGTGATGGATGAAGATGAGCTGCGGTGGGGAATGGGGTTGGAGCACTTTGGTTGCCTTGGTTTGCCTCCTGTCACCTTGGGGCATGCAGGAGGGGACAGAGAGCAGGTCACTCAGTGAGCAGAGTGGTGACGGGAGGGGCAGGGTTATTCAGATGTCCCCCTTTAAAGCCCTTGTCTCTATTATGACCATTTTGTATTGCAGAAACGCCTCTGAGCATGAGCTGAGGTGAGGGCCAAGGCGTGCTTGGGGTTGCAGTCACTTAATGGCATTGAGGACACTCTGGCCTGTGGGAAGCGAAGGAGGATGCAGGACAAGAACTGTCTTGGTCACAGTGTCCCCATTGCTGAGCCGTGACTCAGGACCAGTCTGCCTGGTCCTGGCAGGTCTCTGCCCTGTGAACGCCGCAGCCTCCGTGGCTGCTTTGCCTCCAGAGGTGCTTTACTTCCAAAGGTGCTTTGCCTCCAAAAGGTGCTTTGCCTCTAAAGGCAGCCTCGCCACACGCTGCTGTGGCCTTGGGGTGCTGGTCCCAGTGCCACCAGCTCCTCTGCCCTCAGGAGACCTCCAGTGATGGGAAAAGAGCAGGCTTGCAATTCCTTCAGGTCATCTCCCGGCCTGTGTCTTCTCCATGGGCCACCACAGCCTGTGGAGGACCCTTGAGCTTCAAACTGACAAAACATATACTTTTTGTTATCATTATTATTATTCTCAGGCCTTTCTGCATCACAAAGAGGGGGAAGGCTCATCCGAAGCCATGTTCTGTTCCCCTGGGGCGTCATCCATCCGCTGTGGGGAGGTGGACAACCCTTTTTCCCCAGGGCAAACCTCTCCAGCCGCCCAGTCCCCATGTGTTATCTACCATCTGTATCTTCACCCGCTCGTCAGCCTCTCTGGTGCTCAGCAAAACCCTGTTTGGCTGCCGAGCGGGCCTTCATTTGTCTTCCTTCCTGGTGCCATGCTCCGTTCTGACGTGTTGGGGAGGGGAGGGGGTGTTTTCACCTTTTTATATAGATATATATATAATGAAAAATGTTTAACATACTAACTCTGAGGAGGAGCGACGTAACGGCATGATTTATAATAAAGGAGTAGCTACGATCCCGGGCGCAGCTTCTGGTCCCAGTCTTGTTTCTCGAGTGCTGAGCCTGGGCACTGGGCAGCCCCACATCACGATGCTCCTTATGCTGATGGAGGGGTTCGGGCATCAGAGGAGGGTTTTCCCTGCATCTCAAGTGACCGGAGCAGGTAGGAGAGGTGGAGATTGGCCCAGAGCTGCTGCGTGGCACATAGGAACACGCTTCTGCTTGGCAGAGCTCTCATGGTTTGCCTGTGTGCTCCTGGAGTGCATTAATACCCCTATTGGTAATGCTGGTTTGGGATTTTAGGGCTGGGTTGTTTGGAGAACTGCATGTCTGAAACACCACGGATGCTTCCCTGCATCCCTTGGGAATCCCAAAGGTTTGTGCCATGTCTCGTGGCTCTGGAGAACCAGAGAACAGAATTTAACAGGGTCTGTAGCAATAGGACAAAGGGGAATGGCTTTAACCTGCCCGAGGGGAGACTGAGATGAGCTCTTAGGCAGAAGCTCTTCCCTGGGAGGGTGCTGAGGCGCTGGCACAGGGTGCCCAGAGAAGCTGTGGCTGCCCCATCCCTGGCAGTGTTCAAGGCCAGGTTGGACACAGGGGCTTGGAGCAAGCTGCTCCAGTGGAAGGGGTCCCTGCCCGTGGCAGGGATTGGAGCTGGAGGAGCTTTAAGCTCCCTTCCAACCCAGTCTGGGATTCTAGAATTCATTTTGGCAGCTGGTTTCCTTTGAAAATCTGCCCTTTGCTGTTAGACAGGAAAGGAAACCAAAGACTCATTTACTCCCCCTTTTTCGTGGTACTGACACTTGAATAACTGCTTCCTCTGTGAGGTTCAAGCCTCAGCCTCCAAGCCGAGCATCCACCAGCGCTGCCTGGCTGCCCCTGGAGGGGGGGCACCCCAAAGTGCCACCTCGGAAGGGGGTGGAGGTTGTCATAGAATCACGGACTCATGGAATGGTTTGGGCTGGGAGGGACCTTCAAGGCTCATGCAGTCCCAAACCCTGCAATGAGCAGGGACACCTTCCACTGGATCAGGTTGCTCAGAGCCACATCCAGCCTGGCCTGGAATGTCTCCAGGGATGCTGACCTCTCTGTGCAGCCTGTGCCAGTGTTTTACCACCCTCGCCGTAAACAATTTCTTCCTCACATCCTGAATCCCCTTTTAGTTTAAAACCATCACCCCTCATCCTGTCCCTACAGGCCCTTGTCCCAAGCCCCTCTCCAGGTTTCCTGCAGCCCCTTCAGGCACTGGAGCTGCTCTCAGGTCTCCCCTTCAGGAGCCTTCTCTTCTCCAGGCTGCCCCAGCCCAGCTCTCTCAGCCTGGCTCCAGAGCAGAGCTGCTCCAGCCCTCGCAGCATCTCCATGGCCCTAATGGGGGGGGGGGGGGGGCAGAGGTTTTAAACCTCTGAGCATCCCTGCGGGACACAATACAGCACTCCCCCCCCCGCAGCACAGAGCCACCCTCATCCTCCCCACCCCCTGCATCAAATGAGGAAGTGGGAGGAGGAAAAAGAAAATCAAATGAGTTGCAGTTTGTAGCTGCAGCAGAAACACAGAAGCAAAGTGTGTCGGGGTGGCCATGGGACCCCGGTGACAGGAGCCCCCAGCACCCCGGCCCTGGGGGCACGGCTCACGGGCACCATGGTGAGTGCAAGCCCTCGTTGGGCATCCCCCACGCTGTCTCCCTCGGGCACCCTTGGGGACGTCACCCTCCCTTCCTGCCACCTCTGAGCTGCCCATCCCTCCTGCTCCCATTGTGGTCCTTCGAGCTGGGGAGGGGATGCTGCTGCCCGGGCTTGGGGACATGGAGCTGGGGCTGGGTGAGGCTCTGGCACAGGGCACGGTGCTGGGCAGCAGCTGGGGATGGTGCTGGGTGCTGATAGCAGGGTTGGTGCCCCCAGGATGGAGGACACCGGGCAGCGAGGCTGGGCTGCCACAAAGTGGGTTTGATTTTGCTGTCCCAGTGTGGTACCCGCAGGAGAACCTTTGTGTTCCTCTTGGCCCAACTTCCCCCCAGTGCTTCTGGTTTCAGCGCTCACGGTGCAGGCAGAGTGCAGGGGGGCGATGGGGGCAGCCAGCTCACGCCAGGAAGGACCCTCTGGGTACCACTGGCCTTGCACATGCAGGGACCAGGGGCTGTGAGTAGGACATGGGGCTCCTGAAAGGGCAGTGAGCAGAGCTGGAAGGTGATCTGGAGGCAGAAGGGAAGATGAAAGGACATGGTGCTGGGACATCTTGTCTAGGTCATGCCTTGGTTGGACCAGATGATTCCTGCCATCCCTTCCACTGGGATTCTGTGAAAGCTTTCAAAATCAGAGTGATGCTCAGGTGTGGAGTAAGGGTCTGCACAGTGTGCCCATGGCCGTGTCCTTCAGCCCTGCTCCCTTTGTGACCCCAGAGGTTTCTGCCCAGCCAGGATGGGGACATGGCCATGCTCAGAGAGAGCTTTCTTTCACCCACAGCTGTGGTTGCCACCACTGAGAGGCTGCTCAGATGCTGTCCCGCACAAGGTGCAAGCACTGCCCACCCCCTACAACCACCCAAGACCTGAAGGTGCTTTGTGGCTTGGTGAAGGGCTGCACAATCACAGCCCCATCCCCTGACAGGGCCCAGCTCGGGGGCCAGCCCCATCCCCAGACCCTGGTGTCTCTGTGTACTGAGGGTTGTGACACCGATGCAGCATCCTGAGCTGCTCTTCTCAAGGCTTCCGGTGGTTTTTAAGGTGTTGGCTGTATCTGGGCTTGGGCTATCATCAAGAGACCAAAGATGCCACCTTGGGATGCATCCGCTCCCCACGTGGGGCTCCTGGGGTGTTTCTGATGGCTCAGACCTAAGCTTTGAAGAAAAAAACAGATGATGTTTTGCAATTGCTGCTGCAGGGCTGCTCCCCTTCCTGTCCTGAGCCACTGGCGGTGGCTGTGATGGTGACAGTCCCCATCCTCAGCTGGGGATCCTGATGGGGATCATGTACCCATCATGCATGGGACCAGCGGCAAAGCAAAGTCCCTTGTGTAATGTGGCTGCAAACTGTACCTGAAAGCACAGATGAAGGGCTGAGCAAAGCTGCTCCCTGCTTGGATTGAGGCTGAAATGGCTTCATGGAGGTGTCTGGGGACACCCCCAGAGTGGTGGCTGTTGAGCTGCTGCTCCCTGGCTCATCCCTCGCTTTAGCTAGGACAGAGAAGGGGAAGTGAGGAACCGCTGCCCCAAACCTCTGAAGGCAAATCCAGTCGGTTCCCCTGCTCCCCACAGGGGTGCTGCCCCCATCCTGCGAGGGCTCACTGGGTGCTGGGCTTGGAGGGATGAGCATGGTTTTGAGGGAGCATCATTCCTCTGCATCCCCCCCACAACAGGAGCAGGGTGAGCCCTGACCCCACAAAACCCCCTGTGCAACCTCTCCAGGCCTGCCAAGGAAAGCCAGGGTGATGCTGGGCAGAAACAGCCCTGGCCCTGCAGACATCAGGGACAAAGCCTTCATTTAAAGTGATCTGCAGTGGGGCTGCATCAGGTGCCCCAGCAGAGCCAGGAAAGCACCTACCCTGTGCTGGGAGGAAGAGGAGGTGTCACGAAGGGCAGTGGCAGCTCCGAGCAGCCGTTTGACTGCAGGAGGAGAAGCTCCAGGCGTCAGCTCAAAAGCCCCAGGCTGCAATACAGGAGATGCTCAAATTTGCCTGAATTTGGTGCTGTAACCAGCGGTGGGAGCCCCATGGGGTGCCTGTGCCAGCCATCTCGGGGTCATGGCGACAGGGGATGGGGAACTGAGGTGTGGGGCTCCCTGCGGGCTCTTCCTGAGCCGCTCCTCTCCTCCTGAAGCACAAGGTTTGGGCCAGGTTGGGTTGAAGCTGGGCAGCTCCTGGGGTCACCAACAGCTCCTGCAGGACAGTGCGGTGATGTGGGGCGGGTGCTGAGCCCGCCTGCGCTTTCCTGGGTGGCTTTTCTAAGGGTTTATTAGGATGGAGGGTGGAAGAGGAGGGGAAGGCAGAAAACAGGCCTATAAGCACCAAACAGGAGGAAGAGAAGAAGCTCCCCACATGGTTTCAGGCTC